CATGAACACACAACACTTCCTTATACTGAATCAAACCAGTAGACCATGTAGCCAGTGCCATCTACCCAGACTGAAAACAGCTCTCAAGAGAAGAGATATTTTCCAGTCCTGCTACCTAAACACAATCTGGCATCTTCTGCATAGGGCCGGCCCTCTCATTAGGCAGGGTGAGGCAGCCACCGAAGGCAGATGATTTTGGGGGGATGTGAAAGGGCAGCAAATTGTTCGTCACTTAACGTGTCAGTATTGTAGCATATTTGTAGTATATTTCCTGCCTCAGGTGGCCAAGCAACTTGACTACTCTTGGGTATTATGCACCTTGTCTTGGCGAGGGGCAGCATTAGCTGCTCTGCCTCAGGCAGCAAAAGGTTTTGGACCACCTCTGCTTCTGCATAAAAAAAGTGCACGTTCCATCACTCAACCATGGTCCCCACATCCAACATAATTTATTTCAATAATGTGTCCCCCTGGAAGACTTGCAAGACAGTGGTTGGGGGTGCATAGCTGAGCAGAAACTAGAGGTGCTGACTCCACGCTACTATAAACACCAGTAGCAGCTACCTTCCAATGTGTTCCTCCTTCCATCTCCTCCAATGATCACATCAAACTCGTATTCCGACACAGGATGCGTTTTCGGGTGAACTTGTGCACGCCAACCTATTCCTATGAATAAATTCTGCATGTTAATAACATTTTAGCACAACGATACCAGATAACATTTCACAGAGCCTAGCAAAACTGGTGTGGAAAGTTAATTGCGCCTTAACTTGCCTCCCCTGGGGGTTTCCCCACTACATGCATTACTGAAACAGCCCATGACAGACACTATGACAATGCAAGAACCAGCTCTCAGACGCCACCAGGAGAACAATACACGCCTTCATCTTTACTCTTCCAGATCCTGCCGCTCATCCCAACTCTACTTACTCTCATTCTCCTGGTCCTCAGGAGGGTAGAGCAGCCCCTGGAATTCCACATTGACATGGATCTCAACCCCCAGGATTAAGGAGACTTTCAAGAGTATCAGCTGGAGCTGACGAATACCTGGAAGACAGAGGGGCAGACAATGAAAATGACAAGAAGTGCTTAACATGAAACCTGCTGACTGGCACTAACGCATTACCAAGGCCTGCCACTAATGTTACCATCAATCCCCTCAAAAGAGCTTTGTAACCTAAAAATATAATCCAATAGCCAATGAAGTGACTGAAAGCAACCCTTGATGCTTCCCGGATGACTATCAGCAGCAGAACTTTAAAGATTAAAGCGTCTGGATTGCGATCAAATGAGACTGTACAAAAGAAAGTGGATAGGAAATCAGAGGTGAAGAACTATTATTTTGCTATGGTGAATTTCTTTCCTGAATGTACTTGATCTAGTATGATCTGCTATTTTACCAGGGAGACTCATTAAAACATTTCCTCTCTCATGTGTACCTCTCCCCACAAGGAGCAATTGGAAAAAAACTCACCTTGTGGCAATTTATACAGCCATGCAAGTAACTACCCACACCTCTTTGCTAGACACCTGTGATTATTATCTGTCAACAAAGACAGGCTGCTGCTCTTAATGAACTTACATGTGTTATCTGTGTACAGCTACGTACATTAGTTGCTGCTATATCAATACATTAAAAAATTCAAGGACAGAAATCCTATGCAGATTTTCTTGGAAGTACGCCTGAATGGAATTTCTGAGAATACAAGTGCGTGAAAGGATTTGAAGGGCTGTAGAAGGAGAACTCACTATCTGGCAGGAGACTTGCTGCTCCCATACCACCAACCGCAACTCTAGCCCCCTTCCTTCCTCCAACCCAAGCCTAAATATGAGAAAGCTAATAAATATTATTGTGGCAGGCAAGTAATTTTCTATGTCAAAATTATCTGCCTCACAGCAATCTCAGACACACACACCACCCTCCTCAGCCCCATCTAAGGATATATATAATTTGTGATAACCAAGAATGGTACCACTTACTGATATGGTCGATGGCTCCTGCACAGAATTTGCCATAGAATTTTTTGGCGCCAAGGCCCCGCAAGTCATGTATGGTAAATGGCCACAGATGCAGAACATTGTTGCGGGAGAAGGCATCACGCTTTTCTATCACCACCACCTTTGCTCCTAGAAAGGATAGGTCAATGGCTGTTCGAAGGCCGCAGGGTCCAGCCCCAATGATGAGACACTGCAAGAGAGGCAACAGTTTTATACGTCATTGTATAAAGATGATTCCAAAATTCAAACTTCCAAGTCTGGACGGGGGGGAGGGGCGGGGAGGTTTATATGGCCTTTGTTCACTGAAATGCAACAAAATCCAGGAAGACATTGAAAGATACTCAAGTGCACTTTCTACAGTTCTGGCTATAGGACGATCACCACAATTTCAGTGGAAATACACAGCAGTGACAAAAAGCCAGTCTTCTTCATCAGGAATCACTTCAGATTTGTGTCAGGCAACGTCAAGTTTTCAGAATAACCATAGTCTTTTCCTAATATGAAATGGTTCCGCAGAATCAAATCAGGTTACCTGCATGGCGGTATGCCTTAGAAAATACACACAAACCAGCTTACAGTTTTCCAAAGCAGCTTTTGTCTACACAGGATTCAGCAAAAGCAGTGCTTGGATTCCCTACGCATAATAGTTCCTCCACTTCAGCATTTGACTCCACTATCATAATATTTGGACAGGGGCATGACTCAGGGGTGGAGCATGTACTCTGCGTGCAGAAGGCCACAAATTCAATCCCTGCCACCTCCAATTAAAACTATCTCATGTTCTGAGTAAGACCTCTACCAAAGTTCTGCTCAAATCTCAGAACAAGTTCACTTTCTAATTCCCCTCCATTCCCAAATCAGATTTATTAAAATGCCATTACATGTACACCCCACTTTTCCTCTAGGTGCTCAAGCTGGTGTGTACACAGTCCCTTCACTTTATCCTCAAAACAACCCTGCGAAGTAGGGGAAGCGCACTTTGTGAGCTTAATGGCTGAGTGGGGATTCGAAACTGGGTTTCCCAGTTGCAGACAAACACCAAGCCAGGCATCCCCAAGCTGTGGCCCTCCGAATGTTTTGGCCTACAACTCCCATGATCCCTAGCTAACAGGACCAGTGGTCTGGGATGATGGGAATTGTAGTCCAAAACATCTGGAGGGCTGAAGGTGGGGATGCCTGCACTAAGCTGCTGCTATAGTTCCTGACACCATCAAGAAGCCACAGTAACTTCCATGAACAGCCACTCTGGAATCCATGCCCACATTCTGAGCTGTGTTTGGGAGGGGAAGATAGTCATGTTGCTGCCCCTGCGGAGATTCTATGCCAACTTCATTCCCTACTGTGCTAGTTTCTATTTACAGCAAATTTTCATATAGGGTAGTATTAAGAAATGTGATCTGTGCATGCAATCTGAAATGGTACAACTGCCTCAGAGGTCTACCTCCTCTTTCAGCTGCATATGCAGACTAAGTGGGTTGCCCACTGTAAGTCCCTCTGTCCTCACCTTGCTCACAGTGTTGCAAAAATGATACGAAACAGAACAAACCAGCAAAACCGGAACACCCACATGCTCATCCCCAAGACCTTTGGAGGAAGAGCAGAATACAAATGAACATTCACACAAGTAAAAACTGACTGCTGGTGACTTTTGGAACCCTGTCACTGGCATAGCAAATGGGGAAATCACTCAGAAGCTGCAATGGGAATTCTTGCCTATTCCAAGAATGATATTAGGAAGCGATATCACTAAGCCACCAAACAGCCAGGACAGAAAAGATAAGGTCAAAGCCAGGGTAACAAAGATGAAGCACAGGCAGTGTTAACAAGAGATGGAGGCTGCAAAGCACACTGTGAACAGTGCTGATCTTTGGGAACATGCCGTTTCTGCAGATGAAACAGCCCAACTAAACACAGCTGCCAGCAGCTTCCCAGCCTTACATCATACTGCTAAATACAAGTTTTAAGTAGATTATTTATTGGTGGTATCTGTTTGTTTTGAAAAACCACCACGGGTTAGCAGGCGATTAGCTGACAAAATAGGGACTTTTAGAACAAGGTGATCAGCAATTTTAAGAAACAAACTGGAAATTTAAATAGATTGTAACTGAAGTTTATACTTTTCATAAATAAAATCTGGTTATTTGAACTTAAAGAGTTTTTCATGAGGATCAGAATCATTTTTTTATATCAAGCAGGTTCCTTCACTATACTCTCTGCAGCACCTGCTAAAGGCAATCTTATTTAGAAAAGCCTACCCAGGTGTTTTAAAAGTCTGTATGAGTTCTAATTTGCTTTAGTCTATTGTATTGCAGTTTTAATTTTCTGCAGGTTTTAAATTATAGTTGTAATTTTTGAGTGATAATGTTTTAGGAGGAGATTACTAAGGCTTCCACACAAAGCAACAAGTAATCTTGCTTAAACATGTAGTATAATCGTACCAGCTGCAGCACTCTGTGTAGCCCAGCTGCACATTGCATTGAGATTATTGTTCAGCTTAGCAGGGATAAACAGCAAGAGCCACATGGAAAATACTAGCCAACATCACAGGCTCATCTACATGTAACTGCATACAGCTAAAGGCCGTTTTCATATATACTGTACAGGTAAACCTAATGCAACCCTGCTTGTCAATGCCCACCTTCGTGTTGGCGCATACTTTCCCCTTCTTGTAGTCCTTGTGGCAGCCTCTCTTATCCAACTTGGCCCAAAGGGCTTTGGCTTTCCAGTAATTAAGCTTGGACTTGAGCTTGTGGTAGAAAGTACGATAGTCTTTGGGCTTCAGCTCTAGAAAATCACAGAGCTCCTGGAAGGCTTTGAGAGTCCCTTTGCAGGTCGAGGCCTGGACAAATCGGTCAAAGAGGACATGGGCCTGGTTCATCTTCTCATTACTCCTTTCTTCCATGCTTCCAGCTGAGCCGCTGGCCCTCCTTGGCGCATTGGCAGCTGCCCCCTTCCAGTCTGCCTGCCTTCTTGTCAGCTATTTCACTCATCAACAGTCGCTTGTTTTAATCCACATACATCATTAACCTAGAAAAGCAAAAGACAGGTCAGTGAATCCACACAAACACATGCCACTGGCATGTAAAAAGTGGTGCAACTTATGCCAGTTCACATAGATCTGCTTAACTCTGTCCGATGCAGAGAGCTTCATGGAACTGAACAACCACCGAGGCCCCATTCCTGATGGTTAGAAATTCTGCTCAATGTGCTGCCCCATCCTGGGTTTCACGATCCATTATCCATACAACTTTTCAAGCCTATCTTCAAAACCATAAAGGGTTAGCTATAATCCTCTGTGCTCAGTCAAACAGCATTCCCCCACCCTCTCAATTACTCTGAAAGGGTGGAAAAGTTTAACACTTTCTATGTAACAAGGGTGAAAAGCAAAAGGGGTCTTGGGGGTCAAGTGCCCAAGCTCCACTGTCCCTTGTTGCTATTTCTGTTGCCCTCCAACTCATGGAAGGAGTCTGTCTGAATCAAGAAGCCTTTTGTATCCATGGAGGCTCCCCAGTATCAGGAAGTTTTTAATCTGTGAGGTTTTATGATGTTTTTATATGTGCCAGAAGCCACCCAGAGTGGCTGGGGAAATCCAGCCAGGTGGGCAGGGTATAAATATCATCATCATCATCATCATCATCATCATCATCATCATCATTATAATTATTTGTTATAGAGCCCCAAAACATAAACCTAATTTCCATACAATGGGAGGGTATAATTAACTTTGGCTTCCTGGCTTGTTTCTCCACTCACATGAAGAGAGAAACAAAGCAGGGGCAAATGAACCGAGTACAGAAGAAAGCTTGCTCATATTCTGTTTTAATAAGCCAAGATTTTATCATGCAAATTCAGCTTAGGAGTGAAAATTGAACAGTTTTCCTAGAAGGATCTATAAGTGAACTCATAGTTAATTTCCCTATCAAGGGAACATCTGGTTAAGAATCATCAGAATCTATAAAGGAAATGCTGGAGGACAGAGCCCATGGGGTCGGCTTTGTCCTATCCAAGGCCCCAAATGGCTCTGATGTGGGCAAGTTTGCCACTGAGGTCTACCCTGCAAAATGGCTCTGAAATAAAACAATGTGCAATAATAGTTACACGATAAAAAGGTAAAGGTAAAGGACCCCTGACAGTTAAGTCCAGTTGCAGATGACTCTGGGGTTGTGGCGCAAGTCCTTAAAGCAATCCCATTCCCACTCTGAACTCCAAGCCCACGAAAACATTCAAAACATGTAGTATTCTTTAAGCACCACCCCTCCCCCAGCAAAAAAAAGGGATCGTTTATGCTAAGAAAGCTGATAAACAATTAATTTTATTTGTTTCCAAGTGTTTAAGACCCAGTTAATTCCCAGTGTATCACAAGACATGATACATCCCTATGCCCTTTCAGTTTTCTATGGAACGGAGAAGACTAGTAGGCCTTAAAGCAGAGATTAAAAATAAATAAATCTCATAATTGTAATGTGAAACCAACAAGCACAATGCCCCAGGAACGCAGTAGTGCTCAGATTTAATAAGACGGGAATGTTGGCACACCACTGATTTAACACTCATTCAACACAAGCTACAGCACCTGGAGAAGGACAAAGAATACACATAAGAAGAGAACTACTGAAGAGAGAACTCTTCAGGTATGTTGCCAAAACTAATACGCCATGGCCTAGTGACCCAACTACAAAGGCGGCTACTCACAATGGGCAGGGGTATGAATATACCATGTACCTGTACATCATGACCCAAGAGAATTATTTGTACTTATATTTTTAAAATGTAAGAACTGCAGTTAAACTATGGAATTTCCTCCCACAAGAGACAGCGATGTCCACCAACTTGCAACAGCTTAAGAAGAGGATTAGGCAAATTCACAGAGATAAAGGTCAATGGCTACTAGCCATGATTGGCTATGTTCTACCTCCACAATCAGGAGGCAGTAATGCTTCTGAATACCAGGTGCTAAAAACTGCAAGAGAGGAAAGAGCTCTTGCATTTGGGTCCTCCTAGAGGGCTTCCCACAGGCATCTGGTTGGCCACTGCGGGAAGAGGATGCTGGATTAGAGGGACCACTGGCCTGAGCTGGCAGGGTCTTATGTTCCAAAGTCCTGAAGGCTGCAAAGATACAACTGAAAGTGAATGTAAGTCTCAGAAATCAGAAACTGAGAGTAGAACTTGCAATAATCAGGGGAGAGAATGATTTAATGCCCTTCATAGATAGTAGCAGGATTACATATTCAAAGGAAATTATAGGCCACCCTTCACCATATGGTCCCAAGGTAGGTTATATACTGCTGAGTACAATAGCCATGTAATACATTTCATCCCTAAAAGCCTGTGCAAAAAAGGTAAATCTTCACCCAACTTTGAACAGTGACAATGCCAGCTGCACCTAGGCATTCTACCATCTGAAAGCCACCACAGAAAAGATCCTCTCCTGAACTTGGCAGCAGGGCCTCCCCTGTCAACACTCAGGCAAAACTATGTGCGAGGCAGAAGTCCTTGAGATATTTGGGGCCCAAATTTGGGGCCCTTGAGATATTTGGGACACACCGGCAACCAGTGTTGGTCTGTAAGATGTGGTGTAATATGTTCCCAGCCAGCACCCTGGCCACTGCATTCTGCTCCAATTGTCAAACCTCATGAAACTGGTTGCCTACCCTTAGGTTTTGCAGAGAGGGTTGTATCCGATATAAAGGGTCACAATCTTCTTACCAGGAGGAGTTTCATGCACAATTTGCCCAAATGAGAATGGAGGTTTCCTCCCCAAGTGTGATGGTTTGGACTTAAAAGACTTATTTAAATAAGTAAAATGCTGAAATCTGGATGTCACACTTATCATATTACAACACCATAAATGGGACCATCTACCTCCATTAGCAGGCCTTGTCTTTGCTACCATAGCTGAGATCCACACCAGGCAACACATCCAATCTCAAGATAAAAAGGAAGATAGGTAGAAAGTATGCTTCTATCAGAACACAGAATCTGTAAGTGGCACAGCTCCTACAAGCTAATATGATTTTTAAAAATAAAATGCATTTTTGCTGGAATGGAGATATGGCTTTAACTCAAATTCAACTTCATATTCTTGTTTTCTCACCCCCTGGCAGTGAGTAAGCCAAGGCAAATCTTCACAAATTATGCTTCTTGCCATTCCAATGTGTCAGTTCTCTCTGGAGTGTTTTGCTTGTTGCGCATTTGCCAACACTATGTCAAGTGACATTATTTAGGAGTTGAAGCAATAAGCAGGCATCTCCCCCTGGGGCTTACTTACACGATAAGGGCACATTCACACAGGATGACAGGCACCATAAAATCTCTACCCAAGGCGTAGGGGGAACAGACAGGCTGACTCAGAAGGAAGCCCTATTTGTGTGAAATACCACCATTCCATGCTGCAATTTACACAGTGGTGGATCAAAACAGGGTCACCATCATCACAGAAACCTGTTGCCTTATGGACACTCTGCATACAGCAGACATGATGACCTCCCAGTGTTTTGGACTACAACTCCCATCAGCCCCAGCCAGCACAGCTGGAGGGCACTACCTTGAGAAAGGCTGGCACAGAGAAACAATCAACACAAATAGCACTTCCATGGACCTAACCAGAAGCCCAGAGGCAGCCCTGTGCACGCTCCACGGTTACCGTATGGTGGCTGCTATCATGTTGATAAAAGAATTAAGAGTAGTCTGAATGACCACGGTAAATCTAGTCTCAAAAACAGATGCAAATAAAGGTTGTGAAGGGCCATTAACTCAAGTGGTGGTATTCAACACTGGTCCTGCTCAAAGCAGACCTATTGAAATTAATGGGCATAACTTAGGTTCATTAATTTCAGTGGGTCTACTCTGAGCAGGACTGGTGTTGAACACCTCCCACGTTTTTTAATGGGTGGCTTCTTTATTCATTATGGTCTGAAGTACCACTTTGGGCAGATGTCAATGCATTTTTGAGAAAAATGACCTGTCTCTTTTGTATATTATTCTGCATCACAACATATACAACGATGGTAAAAGTGACACAATGTGAGCAACATTAGCACCATCACAAGTGTGAGAGTCATTTTCCCCACTCATGCTGCTGATCTGGGCTAAAGGCAACATTACTCTTTCAGGAGAAATGACTGAAGAACGTAAGTAGTGAGTGACCAGTCAGTCTTCACTGATCAACCACTCTAGGATAAAGACAGCACCCTCTGAAGACATCCTACCTGCACACAGACCTTGTGTCCTCCCCAGAGAGACTCTCTGTACATATCCCCAAATCACTTCAGTGTATCAAGTTACACTTGCGCCCCCTCAGTTGCTGACAAAATGCTTTTTATAGCAACAGAGAGCATAAAGCAAAGAACACACTACGGTTTAGTGCCAGCAGAGGTCCACGGAGCAAGGCTGAAGCTAAACTTAGCTCATCGAATGTCCTCCTCTTGTTTTTCCACTTTGCCAGACACAGGAATGCCGCAAGAGAATCTTATGTAGTGTCTGGGGAACTAGGGGAAGGGAGTTTAAAACAAAGAAAATCCAAGAGCCATGTCATCTCCAGGAATCGAGTGCACGGCCTTTTGACCCCACCGTTTACAACCGTTTACAATGAACTTGTGGGTCTGCAGATTTATCTGCTCACCCAAGCATAACAATTCAGGCATTTGTTGAAGTGGGATGTAGTCTACAAAGCTCCTTCCATAAATAAATCTGCTAGCCTGTCAGGTGCCATAAGAAACCCTTGCTTGTATTGTAGAGCTTTCAGTCTTTGTGTGATGCAATCGTTTACATGCGCTGCCTCAATCTTAGGATGCCTCTTAACAGCAGGGGTGCAACATTAAAAAGTAGGTGGGTGCAATCCTCTTCCTGACAGAGGGAAAAGGGGGCAGAGGCACAGCCGCATTAACAGCATTCAAAACATCCTTCTGCGTGGAGCTTCAGTGATTTCCATCCACTAACTCCTGCCGGGAATATTTGGACCCCTAAAGCTCTTGAATTCTGGAGGCAGCAAGCCAGAGAAATACAAGGGAAGGCAGAGGTGCCTGCCAGGTTTCCAAGGTATTGGTTTCCCTGCCTGTGCCTTTCAGCCAGCAGGACCTTGCATGTTTTTGTCTTGAGGCAGTCAATGCTGACTCAGTCCAAGTGGACATTAGATGGTCATACACTCAAGCAAATACATGGATTTAAATACCTAGGATTACTTATTAATGAAAAGCTTTCATGGCAGAGGCATAGCCGGGGAGGGGCTCATTGGGCGCCACACCGGGGGGGGGGGGCGGCACTTACCATGGGGCCTGCAGCGTGGGGAAATGGCAGCGTGGGGCTTGCATCTGCCCGCTGCCTCCCCCTCAGCCACCCTACAGCCGAGGGGGAAGTGGTGGGCAGACTTCTTGGAGGCTTCATGCAGCACACCCTGCCTCAGCTTGCCCCACCCCCAGGCACAGGGCATGCACACCGAACAGCTAGCTACAAAACTGTATCATGGAAACCCCATCTGGATGCAATCAAGCTATTATCTGCCCGCTCTACTGGACAGCTCTACAGGTTCTTCCACTCGAAGGGGAGGCAGTTAATCAACCCAGCCATCAAGATCTACGTGTAAAAGATCATTGCACAAATGCTTTATGGGGCCGAGATATGGGGAAGTGGTATCAAATCAGAACTAGGAGCCCAACAAAACAAACTCATGAGAAAGATATTGGGGCTTCCACTGGGGACTTCAGCAAAAACAAAATGGGAGGCAGCAGTTAAAAGTTCCCGGTCTCTGCAGCCGTGGAAGGCACTGTGGTTCTCTAGCAGTTTGACTTCACCGCCAGAGGAGCACCCCGTTCTCTCTTGAGAAAGACAAATGCCAACAACTGTAGCAAAACTGCAGAGTGCTGCTTCCCCCCCCAACTCCAACTCAAGAATAGAGGGTCTCTTCACCCATTATGTCCACAGATGCAGACCTAACATGCTTACACACCTAAGCATGTGACGCATGAATACAAACATGTGAAACACAAATACAGAGATCATGCAGGCATTCTTCTTAGGGAGTTGAGGTTGGTTGTGGTTCCCCGTTTAGTGTAGACTTCATAGCAGGCTTAGATTGCTGCTGCATAAGGTGTGAAAACCCCACTAAAAGGCCACAGGATCAACACTCAGGTCTTAGCAGTGTGGGCTGGACTGTTTCTATCCCAGGGCATAGCAGCAGCCTAACAGGCCCATAGTATTCAAGTGAGGTAATTTAACAGAAGCTGGCAGGGATCAAAAGGATGGCTCCCATCCATTTGCTCCATAGCAAGGCAAAAACATGCACACCATCAACCTTCTACAGATCTAACCCACATCATTCATCTTGCCTTGGATAGCTGCTGAAATGCCATTTTACATCCAGTGGTGTGTGTTAGTAGGCGCCAAGCTACACAAATTTTCCAGTTGGTGTCTACTTGCACAGGGCAAGGCCCCAGGGTTACCAAGAAGAGAAGGGCTATATTTTTCCACATCCAATGCCATCTCTATGACAGCTTTGTGAATTACACAAAGCAAATACGGTAGATGCACCACCTATAATTACCAGGGTAGAAAAAGGAACACACAGTTTAAAACATACACACACATAGTCATGGGTGGCAAAATGTAGCAGCCTGGCAGAAAAAGCTTATTTGCATGCACACACACAGTTCATGAAGTTTGCCAGCATTCAGAGTCAATATGTTTTAAGAATCTTAAAGGTGAGAAATCTTTCTAGAGCCCTGTTTTTGCAAAGATCCTGGGTCTCAATTTAATCTAATCTAAGAATCATAGAGAACTGATGGTACCAGTGTTCTGTATCTGAACTTGGGGGGAAAGTGGGGCACCTCCCAACAGGGAACACCCATAGGAGAAAAGCAATGTCTGAGCATACCCAACTGTTTAGCTGAAAATGTGACCTGCAGCTAAATAAATAAATAAATTTTAAAAATATCAGATAAAGCGGTTGTTAACGACTTGGTAATTGCTCACTATGGACTTAGAATTCCTCAAAAGGACCCCCACCTCCTACTTTAAGAGGACACAGGAGCTGGCCTAAATTCAGTGTCCTAAACCGAAAGGTTTGTGTTATTCTATGCCTGTATCCCTCATCTTAATTCCATGTTGGTAACAAGAAGGGAAAAGGGGGAAAGCAGAGAAATTGGAGAAAGATGGGAGAGAAGGGGTGCCCCACTTACTTTTGGCTCTCACTGCCCCATTTTTACTTCAGCCCCACAGACCACTGGCATGCAACCCTCCTGCAGATTATGGGAATATGGCCCTTGACAAGAGAGAAAGGTTCATCACTCCATTCTAAGCCAATATCCCATGTGGTTTTCAGCATGTGTGACTTGGCCAGCCAGCATCATTGGGGGGAAAAAGCAGGGAATCTGAGGAATGAAGTGAAAAGTGAGTGTCTTTCCTCAGCAACTCATTACCTCCACAGATGCAACCAAGATGCCAATTTGGCAGCTTTTCCGAGCTCTTGGATGGCAAAGATATGTGAAGTTCCTGTAGTTTATGTCCAGTTAAAAACAGGCTGACAACACAGGTGTGGCCGGCTTATGCTTGTTCCATTTATGCAGAAGGAACATCAAAACCTGGGCTGTGTGTCAAGTTCTGGGGAGAGCAGGTGAACTTGACCAACCCTCCTGTGTATTTTGTGCTTTAGGGCTCACTTTCACTGGCGGCTCGAGTGAGTCACGTATTAAGTAGTCATAACCACAGCGTGCTCAAAGAGTGCACTGATCCATCCAAAAAGAATGGAAAAAGCTGCCTGAGGGTTAGGACATCTCTTGCTGCTGGACGTTGCCTTATAAGAACAGATGGGAATCAGTTAGGAAACCAAAAATAAATACAGAAAAAAAGTCAGCACCCAACAGTATACCAAATGCCAGGTTTGGCCCTGAGTCTGAAACTCTTAACAGTGGAGTAGGCAAAGAACTAGGCTGTAAACTACGAATGTTTTAATTGAATCTCATCTGTCATCTGGGTGCCTTATGCCAAATATGGGAAATGTATAACCTCGTCCACCCCAGGAACCATGGCAAATGGTCAGAGACTATGGAAGTTGCAGCCCAACAATGCCTGGGACCACCATGTTGTCCACCACTTGATCTACATGCAGGGATTTTATTTTATTTTTTCAAATAGAGAAGTATTCAGATTCTACAAGAAGTATAAGTACCCATGCTGGCCTATCAGAAAAATTCCAAAATGCAAGCCCTCGTCTGAAGTTTGCAATGGTACAGCCCAGATAGGTTTGCTGTCTCAGCAAAAATAATATATATCATCATATGGTAAACACAATTCAAGAAACGATTTTCCATTTTGCTGCCTCTCGAGCAAACATACCCTCTGCTGCTAATGGAGGGGGGAGGGAAATGTCTCAAGCATAATGCCATTACAGAATTATGTAATTAGAATTGCAAACTTGGGGGAAGGGGAACTTCTTCCCGAGTCCCATGGGGAAGAAGCTTATCAGGGGGTGTCTATAAGGAACTTATAGACTTGTATTTAAGCACTAGCCTGATGACCACAGGAACCAAGAGCTGCAGGCAGATGGAACATCACACACACGAGTGAGCAGGCTGGTGACAGAGGGATGGAACACACAGTCCCTCCCCTGAGGCCAATATAGAAACCAAGCAAGCTGCTATTCCCTCCTCTGCCAGCCCTCAGCAGGCTAGTAATTATTTTGGAAGGCTAGTAAATGCGGGGGCTTATTTACCCGGCTGTTGTAGCCACCTGTTGTTGGCACTTGTCTGTCTTAAGAGACAATGAAAGAGTGTGCCTTTGAGAGTCAAGTCAAACCGCTGGAGAGTTGCAGTGCCTGCTGTGTCTGTAGAAATCGATACATAAGAGAAATGCTCTATTACAGGTAGGGCAGCAGAAATTAAAAAACCTGACGAATCAACACCAGAGAACAAGAAAATTCTCAGAGGTATGTCTGGCAGACTAGTCCTATAAGACTTGCCAATAATCTGCTTTAGCACAGCTTTGGCTTAGACGCCATAGATAAACTAGACTGGAGTCAGAAGTCCGTATGTATATCAATCACAATGGGTATTTTAAAATCATAGCTCTCAACCACGACAGAGTAAAAGCTAAGTACTGTTCCAATTACTCCCTAGCACGACCCTGTCTCTCTCACATCCTCATCTTGGCAGAGACCACTAACTATAATATGACGTGGTCCAGACAAGGCTGAAGTCATCCTCATCTGGATCAAAGGCGTTGTCTGAACACGACGGATGATATTGTTCTACGTATTTTGAACTTTGTACATTTCCCCGCTGTATTTTGGCATGGGGCAGAGCAGCAACAGATGTAAACACAGTGAAATGTATGCCATTTAAATGTGTTTTTCTGATATACAGTACTGCAGGCAAGTGCTCATTCAACAAATCCCCATCCTGTAAATAGACTGTTTCATTTCCTTTCAATCTCAGAGAGATCTGATTATTGGCAAAATAATAATAATAATAATAAAAAAATCCCAGACATAAGACATGGGAACCAAACCCAGGATCTTCTGAATGCAAAACATGAATGAGTTCTACCACTGAGTTATGGCCCTTCCCCAAGAACCACCTCTCTGAATTCCCAAAGCAGAAATAACTGTTGAATTCAGTTCCACTGCAAATCAGCATTACAGTCAAATGTTGCAAGCTCACATAACCAGCTTCCAAAAGCCACTTTTCTTATCTTTGCCCATAAACCTGGTTATCACACAGCTTACCCACTGCAGAAATGCAGAGCAACATAAGCCAAACAATGGAGCTTTTTAGAAGAAATAGCATGACGACACCCAAGCTAGACAGGAATCATGTTCTAATGGGGATGAAAATTAGGAAACAAGGGTCTGGTGTTCTTGTCTGAGAACTTTTCTACTACATCCACAAGAAGCCTAACTTTTCTGCTGTCACCTTGGACTGATTCTGACATTTTCTTATATTGCCTATGTATTACAACCTTTTGCTCTTGCAACAAGTTATTCTGTCGCTTCTTTATGCCCACTCCTCAAAGATACATTATTCTAGTGTAACTCCTGGATGCTACTTAAAAAAATTATATACCGTATATGTCAAGAGTTGAAAGGAAGGCACAAAATGCTTTAATGAATGTGATTCCATCCAGTAGAGGGCGGCAGCACATACATACCCAAATCTGCAAGTTGTTGATTTTGCCAGCATAACAGCAACATCAGAGTATGAAGGATGAAGACAGCCCAGCTGCATCCAGCACACTGTGAACTAGACAACTGTGCTCATAACTAACAGGTCAGAAATTAGGGCACATCTTTTAATTTGGGCAGAAAGGTTCTAAGGACAGGACATGGCTGGTTCTTGCGTTGTCAAGGGATCTAGAACTGCATGATTGAAATGGGGTGGCTACATTCACTGAAGATGGCATACAGAGAACATTTCAGAGTGCTCAGAGCATATATTTAATCCTAACAACAAAAGCAACAACCCTGTCCAACTGGTCTGTTTTAATCCAATACTGCAACTGGTGGGGGCTGAGGTCAACAGATACCGATTTGCCTGAAGCCAGCTGATTAGTCTAATTACGGAGAGGCAAGATCTATGGAAAACAAGTACAGCACATCTGCCAAAATGTGCATCCCCAGCTGCACATGCAACAAGGATCACACCCTTGCATTCTGCACTGATCTGGAAAACTACCATTTCTTCATTCCTTATTTTTTTTAAAAAAAGAACTTCTTATGGATTAGAATTCATACTGCAACCTACATTAAGTGATCTTGGAAAATGGATCCTGAAGGCACTGTGGTTTTTTTGTTTGTTCATTTCCATACTCTGTGAAGAAATAACACCCTTTCACTCCAGTTTTGAATTCCTAAATACAAGCTACACCAGACCAGTTCTCTAAACTTCAACCGATCCCAGTTTCCATTACTCTTCGAAAACTAACATGCCATACCACATAATTTAAACCAGAAGATGCAGCAAAGCAATTAGAAACAAATTAGCTAGACTTCCCACACTGTCCCATTAGAAGCTTCACACCCTAACCAACCACACCTTACCGTATCTCCTTAGTGATGGGAGAAACCACCAGCTCCAGAAAACAAAGCCTGCTCCTGTTAGGTGGATGCTGTACCAACATTCCCCATTCAGAAGGAGATTATAAAACTTTTGTTAGCACAGCTAAGCTAAACAAATTGCTTTCCCATGAAGGATGGCAGGGACTGAGCAATTTCTGTTTCCTGGGCAAAGAGTCTCAAGCAAGCAGCTCTCTACAGGACCAATGACCTGGATTCTGCAGCACTAACAGCTGATTAGAACCGGAGCTTCTGCCTTCAGGGGTGAGCTTCCATCTTTCAAGTGAACAGTGTTTGTGCACTGTTCAAGCACTTAAAAATAGCAACTGGGCAGCACGCTCCCCTCTCTGGTTGGACACCTGACTCCCACTTGAGGCTGGAACTAGCATTTAGTAAAGCAATTTGCCTGAAGACACCAAGTATGTGGAAATGTCTCAAGACAAAGAGGATACCAAGTTCAGTACATGGATCAAGTAAAGTCCTCCTAAGAAATCTGTTTTATCAAAATGCAGTGACATTGGTGGCATGTGGATGCGATTGATGGTGTCCTCCAAGGCAATGTAGCCTCTCAAGGAATGCCTCACTCACCACTTCCAGAGGCATCAGCAGTCATGTGCTCAAGGTTCTGCCACACTCCACAGCAGCCTTTCTCAACCCAAATGTTGGACTACATCTCCCATCACCCTAGCTAGCGGCCCCAGTGGTCAGGTATGATGGGAGTTGTAGTCGAACGACATCTGGGGACTCAAAGCTGAAGAAGGTTGCTCCAGAGGCTGTGAAAGGAATTGGTGGAAGTGATCTGAGTGCTGTGGACTAAGAGTTTTAAAACAACATCTGCTTCCTAGTAAGAATCCAATGTAAAATATGATAGAGCTTTGGAACTTCCCTCTGGTTGCTGCCCAGTTCAGTTTCCAGATGACCAATCACCCTTGTCCCTCTTCAGGCCTGTGCAGAGGATGTGGGGCGCAGCTGGGTACACTTGCCTTGAGCTTTGGAGGGCTAAGATGGAGGAGGGAGGGCACCATGGGCCTGTCAGACTTACACTGCCACGCCATGAATCTTCTCTTTAGTGGAGCTTCAAAATGCCCTTTTAAGATCCATGTGCTTTCAGAATACAAAACCTAGCTCTATACCAAGGGAAATACCAGTTAATTTGGCTTAAACTAGGGGTAGGCAACTGTGGTCCTGCAGGTGTAGCTGAACTACAACTTCCATGGCCTCTGACGTTAGACATGTTGGCTGGGGCTGATGGGAGTTGGGAGCCCAACAATACCTTGAGAGCTGATACCTGGAGGGCATCTGGTTCCTCAGCCCTGCCTTAAAACGAACGTACTCTGTTCAAGTTGCAATATTTAGCACCTTTACGTGAAATTGACAATGGAGAGAAACTGCATGAGTTGATGGAAGGAGATAAGAAGTCCGTTTAAAACAGAGCAAGGATAACTGAGGAATCCTAGGGAGACAAAGCAGAATTCTTGGGCAAACAACCCTTATCCCAAAGCCTCCCCTTTATACACATTCCCAGCACATTTTAAACATTTCTTGATAACCACGAGAGTTAGGAATTGCTAAAAAGTAAATGGTGAGGGGGAAATGAAAGCAAACTGCTGTACTGGATTCTGTTCTGAGCAAAGCAGGTTTCACATAAGGAAGGCTGCGCCAAACCATTTTCAAAGCCAAAGTAAATAAGCTTCCACAGCTGCATTATGCCAAAAGTACCAGTCGTTCTTGCAGACGAGCTGATGATCCATGAATTGACATGGACAAAACACAAACCCCTCCACCTCTCAAAATGCCTCACGGCAGCTAGAACAAAGTATGTAGCACAGAGAGGCAGCTTCCAGCTTACACCATGTACCCCCCTATCTTTAGTTCCTTCTTGAAAGTAAAAAAAGAAAAAGCGAATGCAATTCATTAACACTCACCGCTAGCCTGTCTCCAGGTTGGGCCACAGCTCAGCAACGCGTCAGTTGGAGCAGCAAAAGGCCGGCATGAACTGGCAGCATGCCACGCCAACATGCTTTGGTAGTTAGTGCAAATAGGAAAATCTGAGGGCTGGTCTTAAGTCCTCTGGATTAAATATTGGGAAGTCAAACACATCCTAAAAGAGGCATATTACATCAGAGGTAAGCGAAGTTCAGCGTAAGGAATCAGGACTAGCGCTCCAACATGACAGCGCCTGGAGAAGCTGAATAATATCTGGTCCACATAGGCAAAGCCAGCGTAAGGGATTGAACGTAGCAGATATACACGCTTCCAGGGCCACAAATTCAAAAGATGTGATTAAGAGCAGTTTAAGAAGAAAAGTGGATGTAAAACCACAAGATTTTATTTGCTGGCTGTGCAATCATTTTGTAGGGGATTACTCTGTTGTCTAATCAGCACCGCATTTGGCTCAAGATGCCTGTGCTTCAGTGTGCCGGCTAGTTCTTTAAGCTTAGGGTGACATCTGTTAGAGACTGGTTCATGTCACATTTTTCAAGTGACTAACCTGCCTGCCCAAATGCCCATGGAAGACTAAGAAGAAAAAGCAACCGGCTACAGTGAACTCTAAAAAGATTTGAGTCGGCAGGTTCGTGAAAAAGCAATTCAAGACTATTAACAAGCTTATACGCTATAGCTCTTGGGTATCAAGGAAAGACAGGTACCAGTAAACAAACAAACTTAGAACACTGTCATTCCTTTAAAAAATGTAAACATGCTGTAAAGCTGAAATATGTACTACTAACCATTTGTGTGTAAAAATACATGGAAGAAGACACAGAAGACAAAGGAGACTTTCGTTCTTTTCCGCTCTTTGGAACTCCCTTCTATACAGAGGTCTTTTGTGGCTGTCTACATTGCAAACAACCCTACTCAAGCCGAGGAAAACCCACAGCACCGTAAGAGAGTTACTGTTTTGCATACAAGAGATTCCAGGTTCAGTCCTGGCAATTCCAACTAAAGGATCTCAAGTATATGGGAAAAAACTCTTCCTGAGACCATGACAAGCTGTTGCTAATTAGAGCAGAAAAAATTAAGTCAGATAGGCCAGTAGTCTGTTTTGGTATAATGTGGGTTCAAATGATCACAAATCAGGAAACTCTGCTTTTGAGCAGAGTTGCTTGGGCAGCGGCAGCAAAACATAAAGGCAACCTCCATGAGAGGTCCAGAGCATAGCAACACAAGTGTGGGCCTTCTTTGTGGCAACTTCCTGCTTGTCAAGTGCTCTCCTCAAGGAAACTCGCCTGGCACTTTTGTTACATATTTTTAGGTGCCAGGCAAAGACAGTATGCCCTTCTAAACTGGATTGTGTATGTGTGTGTTGTTTGTTACTATGTTATGCATTTTTGTGTTTTTGTACTATAAGCATTTCTGTGATCCTTGGATGAAGAGAACTGTAGAAATGTAATAAAGTAAATAAAGTAAATATATAAATAAATATTACTAGCAGGAACCAAGAGGACCCCTTATGCTACAAGTTCTGCTCTGTTATATCTCCACTGAAGCAGTCCAGGGCCTAGAATGTATGTCCAGACAGCATGAGGCCTTCCCCATTTTATGGCAAGTTTCATGTTTTTCTACATGCCTCCCTTCCAAAGTGCAACACACAAACACACACGATATGGAACACAAGAAGCTCCTTTTTCTCTCAAGAAGTCATAGAATCAGTATTGTAGATTTGAAAAGGAACCAAAGGATTGTCTAGTCCAGGTCCCTGTGATGCAGAAATCACAGAGCATCCTTAACAGATGACCATCCAACCTCTGTCTGAAAACCACCAATGAAGAAGAGTCCACACTGCCTTCCGAGGTGGACTGCTCCACTGTCGAAAAGCTCTTGCCATTGAAAATTTCTTCCTAACGTTTTCCTAATCTTCCCCATCATCTGCTGCCTGATCTTTTTAACTCAAGGGTGGGAAACCTTGAGGCCCTCGTTGGGAGTCCAACAACAGGGCCACAGGTTCCCAAGCCCTGTTTTACCTAGTCATGCCAGGAATGCAAAACACACCCTATCACCAAGCACAGGCTATCACTAAGAATGAGAAATTAAGCATGGAATGAGTCTGTGTAAGAGATGTGACTTGCTGCACTCAAGTAACCTTCCAGACCATTAGACTGAAGGGGTTGTTACTAGCCACAACAGCGAAAGAATCAGCAGCCATAACAGGGAGTCCACCCATAATTTAGAAAGCAGTTCCTGGTAGAAGAACCAGAGCAAACAGTAATTCAGCAATCAAGAAAAACAAAACAAAACACTTCAGTGCTTTAAATAGTTCAAAACCAGATTGTGCTGTAGTGTAATTCCCTACTTGTTAGTGCGAAACATACCCAAGGGCAAAGGTTTGTTATGCTGTGTGCAGTATAACACAGAAGCGAAATGTTTCATCTGTACACCGAGTTCCCTGCATGTTGTACGGCTGATGACTGATTATGTAGAGGCCTGAACAAAAAGAAAGGAGGGATTCAAGAAAATAGGCAATTCCTCTCTCCCAAATGTATACTAGGCTGCAAGTCGTTCATGGAGCCACTACCTAATGTCAGTTCTTTGGCAATGCACTCATGGCAAGACCCCTTTCGCCCCATTAAGTGTGGGGGGCATGCAAATGATGAATTCCATCATGTTATTTCTTACCACCTTGGCTGATCCGTGCAAAGTGGTGGAGCACAAAGGGGCAGTAACACCTCAGCTGCTCTTGGGGTCTTGGTTAATGTGCGACGGCAGGGGCCGGAGGGGGGGGGGGTTTGGCAAAAGGGAAGCACCAAGTTTCAGATCCAAAGTCAAAGAGGCAAGTCTTGTTTTATTTATTTGCAGAAGCACTCTAATTTATTTCTGTACCTAATAGATTGTGAGTGCTTTAAAAATAGGAACATTACAAGACCAATAAAGGCTGGGTATATTTTGTTCCATTGTTTCAAGCACTTGCTCCCATCATCTTTACAACTGATCTTCACAAGTAATCAAATAGGGAGGAGGTGCCATTCCCTTTTTAAAAAGACAAGTAAAAGCAATCTATGTAATGTGCCTTTTAATAACAATAGAAACAGAGTTGATTACAACAGAAACAGAATTGAAGCATATAGATGTTACTGATCTTATACCAACAAATATTAAAAGATCACCTGAAAGCAAGCTGGTGTCAATCATATTGCTCTGCTTTCCTTTGGATCACATCAGCAAGGCCGAAAGTGGGGTCATTGTCTGGGCAGTCCAGGACCCCAACACACACTCCCCGGGGCTTGTGCCCCACTTTAGTGCTGCTAATGCAGCAGTTTGACTTCACCCTTGGAGGTGCACTCCATTGCCTCTCGAGTCAGGTGGATGCCAACAATAGCAAACTTGAAAACATTAGCCATAACCAGAAACTGACAACTCTTTAGCACCATTTGAAGTTCACCTCTGTTTTTCAGCCTGAGCAAATGCCCTCTCGGGAATCAGGCCTGCTGTATTGATCACTTGCAATGAAATGAATGAACAGTAAAATCTCTGAGAATGGACCATGCATTGTCCATTTAAGCACAATTTAGCCTCTAGACTCTGCCTTTCCCCATTTCCTACCAGGGAGCTGTAAAGAACTCTATTAATAAACTAGTTATGCTACACATACCTACAAGGAGACAAACTTCTAGTTATTAAAAGTTTTCAACACACCCCTCCTCATTTCGAATGAGAAGAGAATTTCTAAAAACACATTAAGATGGACTTGTCAGGGAACGCCCGTTGGGACTTAATAACAAAATACTGATTTGGGGAATTCTGGACAGTAAAGGAACACAAAAAGTAATTGTGCAGAAGTTTGTATTAATCTCTTTATTCAAGTTATGTGTATGCCAATGAAACTATTTCACTGAGAAAGGGAACTGCCTGTACTAAAATGAAAATCCAAGCAAGAACACACTTTTAAAAAATCTAAGCAGCAGCAGCAGCAGAAACAGACTAATGCAGCTTCCCTTCTGGAAAGTATAAACATCTATGGTGCTTTTTGGTTGATAAGAAGTAAGCAGCTGTAAACAACTCCCTTTCTCCACCTCCTTACAATGTTCTTCCATTGAACTGATCTGTTGCAAAGACTTTCTAAAGTTACTGCACTTACTGCAAAATTGTAAACCCCTTAACTGCTACACCAATAAATACCAGGCCATATAGCAACCTGCTGCGCAAAGAAAATTGATACAAATGGGAACAGGTGAGTAGATCAAGTTTCATTTGCCTCCGTCACCAACACTGACACTAGGTTACTGAAGTATCTCAATCAGTCCCTGGTCAGCTTCCACATATGCTTTAGCAGGTCTGGCATCAGCACCAGATACCCTCAAGGCCCCTGCACAGCCTACCACTAACACTGGTGACTGGGAGCAGCCGCCGAGACCACATAACACCGCTCCTGCAAGACCTACATTGGCTCCCAGTATGTTTTCGAGCACAATTCAAAGTGTTGGTGCTGACCTTTAAAGCCCTAAAAGGTCTTGGGCCCAGTATACTTGAAGGAGCATCTCCACCCCCATCGTTCAGCCCAGACACTGAGGACCAGCGCCAAGGGCCTTCTGGCGGTTCCCTCACTACAAGAAGTGAGGTTACAGGGAACCAGGCAGAGGGCCTTCTCAGTAGTGGCGCCCACTCTATGGAATGTCCTCCCACCAGATGTCAAAGAGATAAACAACTACCTAACATTCAGAAGACATCTGAAGGCAGCCCTGTTTAGAGAAGTTTTTAATGTATGACATTTTAATGTACCAGGCAGAGGGCCTTCTCAGTAGTGGCACCCACCCTGTGGAACGCCCTCCCACCAGATGTCAAAGAGAAAAACAACTACCAAACTTTTAGAAGACATCTGAAGGCAGCCCTGTTTAGGGGAGCTTTTAATGTTTAATAGGTTATTGTATTTTAGTGTTTTGTTGGAAGCTGCCCAGAGTGGCTGGGGAAACCCAGCCAGATGGGCGGGGTACAAATAATAAATAAGTTGTTGTTGCTGTCATTACCGACCTGCATGCCCTAAGCTCCCCTTTTTAATTAAAAATCAAAAATTAAAAAACCAGGTGCTCCAATGTAATGAGTACCCTTCTGGGCCTGGGGGAGGTGCCATGTTTAACCCTGGAGTGATGCTATATCATGGGCATTTGGGGAATTAAGAAAGACGTTCCCCCTAAAAATTCATCTTGATGTTACTTGGTACCGCCATCACCCAGAAAGCCTACCAGAGCATCTCAGCATGAAACGTAAGTTGTGAATTTATTTGCAACTATATCTTAATTGCTTCTTGTGCCATTTGATTCCTGTAGCATGGCATATGTATTTACTGTTTTTATTATTTTAATGTGTGCCACCATGGGAATTTTTACAGAAGAGTAGTATAGCCTTTTTCTACACAAATAAACAAATCTTGGGGAGGAAGCATGGTGGGCAGCTGCTGGAACATGTGGAAATGCTTACACCAATCTGTAAAACAATTATAAATAGGTTCAGTTGGTTATAAATGGAGGTTTATAAAGGGAGTATTTTGAGGTACATTTGTTACAAAAACTGAACTGAAATCCTCAGGGGAAATAACCAAGACCACAGGAACCCAACCTGAAGCACTTAGGAACAGAACTTTGTTTTGTAAACTACTTTGAGGTGTTTTTTATTTTTTTTAAAAAACAAACCCCAAACAACCAACAACTATCAAGCACTATGAACGTTTTATGAAACAAACAAATAAGAAAGGAGGAAACATTCATACAAACACAGATAGTAGTAAATTACAAATTATACATGTTCAGAGAGCATTTCGTGTTTTTCTAGTTTTGCAACTTTATCAGCAGCAGCCAATGGTTTCTTTCAGTGATCATCGATCAAGACTGGATATGAATTAGTGCCTCAGAAATTAGGTTTGTTCTGCAAAAGCAGAGCCTGAACCACACAATGTAATCATGCAACAGTAGCAACTTTTAAAAGCTAAAGTACAATCATCTTTATTTTTCAAAGAACATCCCATATTCTTCTTTCAAATGATCTGTACATCCTGCATAGTAGCAAGCAGCTTTACAGTCAAAGGTCTACATAAAGTTTTAAAACAGGACAACAAATCAATCAGAATAGTAGAGAAAAATAAGATTTAAAAGTAATTTATGAAGCATGCCAGGGAGCCAAGGGCTTTTGCAAATAAAGGTAAACAGAACAAACACTCCCCTTGAAAGACCAGGCATCACCATACATAGATAGCATGCTTGCAGTTCCATTACATCTTTACTAGTCTTGTGCAGAAAACTATAGTGGAAATGTAGTGGAATTATGATGCCAGTACGCATGCCAAAAAGTCTGCTGCAGTGATGTTGATGTCCACATGGTTATGCTGGTGCCTAAATCAACTAATGCAAAAATGGAGGAACTTGGGTTTTAAAAAACAATTATAGGAAGAGGACAAGTTCCCAAATAAAAGAATGGCATGGTGATTGTAAGCATCCTCTGATCAAACCTACAGAATCAGAAACAACTACATAGATCAGTAACTGAAGTGCTGCCTGTCTCCAAAGTTGCTCAATTAGTTGCCCCTCAAAATCTGGAGAAAGTGTTAATGCAGAACTTGTCACCAGGCCACTTTATAATCAAATGTCATACCTTTCCCACAGTGGACCTTCCAAGAAAATTAAGCAATAAATTGTGCCTTGATTGACTACTACAGTAAGCAAGTGTTAAAGAACATTTGTTTGTATGATGTCTTCATATTAACAGATCTAGACTGGATAGAGTCACCGCTGATAAGGTATTGGTTAAAAAAAAAAAGGTCACTGATTAGAACCAAAGCACAATATATTGCTTAAAGATCTTTTCTACTGAAAGGACCGCCAAGCTTGGACACAAGGAATATCCATGTGGAGAGCTGATTTCATGTACCCATCCTACACATCAGCATGAAGTGGCCACCACGTGGAATAAGTTTTTAGAAGTCTTCACATGGGAGCAGTAATGTCAAGTCCAAAAGGAGGGAGGAAAAACAGGCAAAGAAGAACCCAGCAAAAAGTTTTGTGAACATGGCCAACTTAAAAGCAGGTCTTCTTTCCTAAATGCAGAGATTTTCAATTGCACTTGGCAATTTACATCTAATCTGCTCTGAGTTTCTACAGCCAGCTCCTGTTTTCTTTTCAGCTTCCGATGAGGGAGTTAGCAAGCTCCCTCCCTCGTCCAGACCAACCAAGCATAATTGAAGCCTGCTCTAAAAGATATGCAATGTCAGATTACTGAATAAAACAAAGGAAATATTTAGGTCATGCATCATTTCTTTTGCATGAGGAAATCTTGAAGCGACAAGAGGAAAACCCTGGCATGTATCCAGAGTTTGTGCCAATTTTGGAAGCTTTTAACTTAAATAGGAAAAGGTAGGATGAGCAGGGCTGCTCACAAACAAGCGCACATACACACCATAAACTGAAGGTTCATAGACTAGAAATGGACAATGAAGATATACTATAAATGTATTTATACATACCAGTCACGGGTAGTAAGACAAGGCCTCTCAGGGGGGAAATATAGTAAAATATAAGGGTAACGTCTGTTAAATTATAATGCAACTTTATACAAAAGTCCCACTAACCGCAGTTCTGCATTCCAATTGCTGTAAATAGCACAAATTAATGGAAAGCAGACCAGCTACCTGTTTCATGAAGATTTAAAGGCATGATTAATTCTTTTTCAATTATTAATAGCAGTCTCAGGAAGTGGAGATTTGGTTTGGGACCTTTGACCTTTTCTCTGATTAAAATTGCCCCCCCTTGGCCCTACAAGGCAAAACATACCAGCCCCCATGTGAAGTTCTATTTAGTGATAAGTACAAACAGTACTTGAAAATGAAAAAAAAAGGAACCTGATGTTGATATTGAATATTCAGGGCACTTACTTCCCTACTAGTTTATATGGTTGTTCTGTCTTTTAAAAGCAACACACAGTATGCTTGATCTCTGAATTAGCTTAATTTAGCCAGATTTATATTTATATAAATTATATATTTATGTTTACAAGTTTACTAAACAGATACACCCACTTTGTTACACTTGCCAAATGCTGTAAATTAAAAAAATAATAATCTAAAAGCAGACCTGGGTGGGGCTGAAATCTTAGCAGGAGTCTTGGACTCAGGTCCCCTGAGCTCAATCGCTGTTTTGCCAGTGTAACTGAGACTTCTGGGTGGGGAATTCTTGTGACAACTTCTATTCTCTCAGAACAGGGACCCACAGGGGAACAGAAGGAATCACACAAACCTTTTTCGACCCTTCCTCCTGCCTTGGCTATTATTAGAATTGAGTTGCAACTATTAAAACAGCTTACCATCGCAGAAATAAGGCATGTCCAAAAAATATACATCTCAGGCATCAAAGGAGGTGTGTGTGTCTTCAGCAGTCCCGCAAAGATGTAGAACGAAGATGCTGCCAGACACGCCTCTGTGAGGAAGGAGTTCCAAAACTTAGGGGCTGATACAGGTAATGTGTTGTCCTGCTGCCACCCCAAGCTTCTCAAAATGATGGAACAATCAAAAAGGGTCAAAGAGAATTACCCAAATGACGAATACAGTCATACCTTGGGTTGAATGTGCTTCAGGTTGAGCGCTTTCGGGTTGCGCTCCATGGCAACCCGGAAGTAACGGAGCGCGTTACTTCCGGGTTTCGCCGCTCGCGCATGAGCAGATGGTCAAAATGCCGTCACACGCATGCGCGGAAGCGGCAAAACACGACCCACGCATGCACAGACACGCCATCGCGCCTTACGTTCTATTCAGGATGCGAACATGACTCCGGAACGGATCCCGTTCGCATCCCGAGGTACCACTGTACAGCTCACAGTAAACTGGAGTTTCCGCAAGAGTTAAGAGTTTCATGTACTTAGTTCTTAAAGGGCTGCAAGAATTAATCCACTGACTATCCTAATTATGGGTGAATCTGTCCATTTTGATTCATCTCCATTTCCCTTTCTTCCAATATTATGTTTGCTTTTCCACATCAGCCTGTGATTTTCTTCTTAAGTCCTCATGGACATTTTTAGTGTCAATTTCTTCTAATATACATATTTGAACACATTTTTTGCCTTATATACATTTTTCACAAGACATTTCCCCTAATGTTACTTTCACCAATGTATGCCATTTGAAGATGATTTTACTCTAGTTAAGTTCACGTTTGTACACATGGCTGAAGAATGGCATTGCAAAATTCAGACATGCGAAAATTTCATCAGCCCCAGCTGCGACAAAACATGTCTCTCCTGCATCCATCTCATAGTCACAGTAGTGTTAGCCCGCAAAAGTGCATTCCTCCATTGTCTCCCGAGACAAATAGATGCCAACGGTCGCATTTCAGCTCACATATTGATTTAGGAAGTGCAAATTAAGCACGTCTCTAAATGAGATATCAACTAAAACGCTCCCTCCAATCTCTATTCTTTGGTAAGACGGAAAGCAACTAATCAAAGCATGAAGATAAAGAAGTATAGAAATGAAATTAATAATAATCTCGATTCTAAATAATGGGCCTTTGATGTCTAGCAAGTTAGAGTTGGAAAGTAGTAGTCTTATCTCTGCCTAAGTTAAGAAGAGTCAAAGCTCACCACTCTCAACTCAAAAGAGGTAGCCGGAGAATGCAAACAAACAGTGTGCCCTGCCTCCTTAATGACCCTTGGACAATAGCCATAAAGGGCTGATCAGGGCATCAGTGACATCATTTTCCAGAGAGGGGGAATAAGCAGACAACAATACACAGCCCTGTTACGGGTGGGCTGGGGGATAGGGCTGTACTTCCTGCCAAGAATTCCCTCCCATTTATAAGCCCCTACTACCCAAGATAAATACAGAAGAAGTCATTTCTGTCCAAGCCAACTGTGGTCCTGGGCAAAGCAATGGGGAGTGAGAACTGATGTGTTTGCTTACTATGTCGTTTTCAGTTTGGCCTCTAAATGCATCTATTAGATTAGGGTGGGGAGGGGGATGCTGTTAAAGAGAACTAACTGAACTCTTATATACAGACAGCAGATTTCAGACCATGCGGTTTTACTGCAAAAGGCTGCTTTACCACCTACTGTGATGGAATGGAAAAGGGAAGGTGTCAGCTTAGCTACCGAAACAGCTGTTGGGAAGTCAGTTTTAGCTGCATACTTCTGGCAAAGGGCATAAAAAGCCATGCTGCATCATTACGAGAACCCAAAGTTAAGGGTAAATATTCCAGTCACTACCTCTTCCTTGAAAAAATAGTCCTTTTGCTTCCAGCTCTCTCACTGTACCTTAAGCCGGGTACCTGCTTTGGGTACTAGAATTCAATAGATACTTATAGATGCACAGTTGTGGCACCGTCTGTTACTTGTATTTGTATTTATTATCTTAATTTAGGAATCACTTTTCACGTGAGCCTCAAGGTGATTTACAAACATACACTAAAAACTTTTTTTAATAGTACAAAAATCTAATTATAGGTTTTAAAACAATACAAAAATAAACACCTAAGGCAGAGACCTTTCCACACAGCTGGAAAAGCTTGCAAAAACAAAAATGTCTTCAATTGTTTCCACAAAGTACAGAGGGTGGATGCCTGTCTTATCTTAACACAGATACTGTTCTGCAAATCTACTCCTATAATTCCTTGCCCAGGGAGGCTTCTGGGTTAAGAACTTCCTATTAAGAAATACTTTGTTGGGCTGTGATAATGTTCCCAACAGGTTTTAGGATGCAAACTAGGGATGGGCAATCCTTCCTCTATTGAGTCCAGCATGCCCTCATGAGTAATCTGTCATGAGCTGCATGCTAGTAGTGAGGAGAGTCAATGGTGAGCAGAGTCAGAGACAAAACCGATCTGGGTTGACTAAGCTGGAATAAAGATCACCCCCTGTTTCAATTTTCATCACAGCTGCCCCAGAGCAGAACTCTCAATCCTATGAAGTTCAACTCACAAGTAATCTCAACTGTGCTTGATAGGATTACTCTCACATAAGTATACAGAGGGTTTAAATTTTTATTTTTAGTGCAGGAGAGCAACCCGGTTACTGTTCTGGAAAGTAAGTGAAAGTAATTTCTGATTTTAGAGAGCAAGACATACATGCACATGACACACACAGAGTGTAGATGTCTTATTGCAGGCATGACCAAAGTCCATTTCAGGGTCTAATCCGGCCCCTGTGGCAGTTTATTTCCTGAGGTAAAATCCTAAAAAAAAGTCAACAACTTCAAGCCAAAAAACGTCAACAACATTGGTCGGCCCTTCACTTCATCAAATCTGGCCCTCTTTGAAAAAAAGTCTGGACACCCCTGTCTTATTGGTTTGTTCTCAGATCAAGCCATACAACCAGAAGAAGTTTTTAAATTTTTTATTTTTATCAAATAAAATACTTTCCCCTCACAATGGTTTAGAACCTAGGTAGAAAGAGGAAAACAAACCTTTAAAAAACAAAGGGGGGGGGGACAGAAAGGAAGGAACTCTAACAGGATGGAAGTATGAGAGAGCTTCAGGAGGAACGAAAGGCCACAATAAAATGCCATTAGAGGCTGCATAGGACCTCTGGCCTGACTCTTGTTGGTTATCTATTTCACCATTTCACTGTATTAATAGAAGCTGCATTTTAATAAACTGCAAGTCACTATGAGGGGTGAGCAAAATATACATTTCAGAGACACCAGCAGTTAGATGTCTAATTGTACACACCACGAACTACCTGCATCATTCCAAGTAAGATGCCAATGAGTAGATAAAAACACTTAATAGTTGCACACTAAATAAATCTGCTGCATGGACATGAATTCTCGCAGTGTCTGCAACAGCCCAAAGCTATATTCCAGAAATGGGGCATTTTTCTACAGCATGGGCCTTTTTTATATAAAAACTTTGATTAAATGGAAGCAGGGCCTTCAGTTTTGTTCAAAACTAAATTTTGAATCCGTAAGACTTTGGCTTCAGATCTATACTTGTTAAGCTACATGCTTTATTCAATACAAAGGAGGTTTAAATCATTATCGGACTCATGGGATTTGATCTTTAGATAAAATGCAGCAAGTTCTTTCGCCCAAAGAGCTATAATTCAATACCATTCATCTTACAGACAGATGGATCTCAGTATGATGTGTGCAAGTAGATTGTCAGATTTTTTTTTTTGCCTCAAGGACATTTCAGACATTTTGATATGCAAAATTCAGAAGGGCAAGCAACTCAACCTTTGTCATCTCTTTGTTTAAAGCAACACAAACCAGGGGAAACAAATGTTCTGCATATTAAAATTAAAAACATGAGGATTCAGAGACCTATTTATTGTATTCTTCTTCATATAAATTAAAGTAGCATAGTGGCTAATGAAAGTAAGCTGTGAACCAGTACTGGTGATGGGTGAATGATACAATTGGAATTTTGAAACTCACTAATGACAGCCCAAGGTGTGTTCAAAAGGCAGAAGTAAACAAAAGGCTCTGGATAACTAAGTCCTTCCTAGGAGGCCTTCTGAATTAACAAGATGACCTGTGGATGAGAGTCTGATTCTGCGCTTTCTTTGACTGGTCATTTCTTTGTTATTATTTGCGGTTTGGATACTGTTATGTCTCTAAGAATGTAAAAAACATAATAGGAGCCTACTGGATTAGGCCAATGGCCCATCTAGTCCAGCATCCTGGTCAACATCTACACTGAGCTATTCACTATGATGCCAAGGTCTCGTTCCTGGTCAGTCATGAACTACATTTTCTGCTTATATATCAGGAGCATCATATTATCTATCGATCTATCTCTCTCAACTTGAAGGAAGGTGGGACATGATGCTGTAAAAGGAAGGAAAATAAGTCAACAAAATACTTAAGCCACAGAAGTTTCATTTCCGACTCTTACTCAGCCAAACATCCACGTAGCCTACCATTCCAGAGCATTTTTTTTTTAAGCAAACATCAGCTGACTGAACAATGCTCTTTTTTTCTTGCGCTAAGTGGTTGCAATGATGAATGAGAGAGATGAGTTACTTTCTTCCAGGAGTGTGTTCCTCACAGGAAAATGTAAACCACTTGCAATGTTCTGTCTCTCCTGAGGTAAAGTTAAGCCACAAGCTGACTAAAGATAGCCCAGTGATTGTATGTTTGCTGAAAAGCAGAGAATGAAACACTTTCCCGGCAGTCAAATGTCAAGTAAGTACAAGGGCTTGGAACACTTACTCAGACCATTCCAAAACACGGAACTTTACATACAGAAACTATCTCTAAGGTAAAGTTAAAGGTACCCCTGCCCGTACGGGCCAGTCGTGTCTGACTCTAGGGTTGTGCGCCCATCTCACTTAAGAGGCCAGGGGCCAGCGCTGTCCGGAGACACTTCCGGGTCACGTGGCCAGCGTGACGAAGCTGCTCTGGCGAGCCTGCACCAGCACAGCACACAGAAACGCCGTTTACCTTCCCGCTATAAAGCGGTACCTATTTATCTACTTGCACTTAAGGGTGCTTTCGAATTGCTAGGTGGGCAGGAGCTGGGACCCAACGACGGGAGCTCACCCCGCCGCGGGGATTCGAACCGCCGACCATGCAATCGGCAAGCCCTAGGCACTGAGATTTTACCCTCAGCATACTATCTCTACATACATTCAAAGTTCAATTCTCAGCACCCCAGGGTAGGACAGGGGGAGAGCAGCTGCCCATCAATGTAGACTAAGCTGGATGGATCAATGGTCTGATTCAGTATAAGGCAGCTTCCTATATTCCTATGTATAGCTAGAATCTTTTGTAATGAGCAGTGGTTTTGTGGCAGGCACGTTAATGGAAACAGCAACCCGTGAAAGCAGAAAGTTTGAAACCTACTGCAATAAACCTCTGAGCCTACTACAGCTTTTCAAAATGCCTCGTTTCTGCAAGAGTAGAAGAATATCTCATGCACACCAGATCACTAATGTGGAAGGCAAACCAAATCTCAAAGTACCAGCCTCCAGTTCCCACTTCCACCTCATTTCCACCCTCAAAGTTCATTACTTCAGAAATCATTAACCTGAATTCCTTTTATGACTGGGGTGGAATGAACGGAGCCATCTCAACTGGATTCGCGATACATGGAGGAGGAGGAGGGGAAAGCAAAGGATGGTGAAGAGCGTAGCCCACAAAGGGAAGTGACAGAGCAAATATTGTTTACAGACGCTGAGCTAGGCTAATGCAACCTAATTTCATGTTATGCTCGAACAAATCCCAAACAATAAGGCAGGAATGGGGGCAGGATGGAGAATGGTATCACCTCATCCTCCATAGTTTTGCTGACTGGAATAGGGCCAGGATTTCAGGCTAAGTATATGAGCACAGTAGCCAAAGCAACAGAGGCCTCCAAGCTTCTGCCTTGGCACAGCTGACTATTTCTGGGCGGCCAAATCACATTGAAAATTATTGGCAGTGGGGCAGGGTGGGGGGTTGGAAGCAGCTCACCAGTTGCTTTTAGAACTTTACTGCTGCACACTCCAGTCATGCCCTGCACTGGGTATCTAACAGATTCTCTCAATGGGCCTCCACAACTATTACATAGCAGAGAGAGACACTAGTACAAGCTGCTGCAAGCTCCTTCACCTTTCCTACACCAAAGGCCTCTCTCAATGCACAGGACCTCTAGCCCCTAGTTTGCCTTGCCCCAAGACCAGTCTTGAAAACAAAGGAAACCAGAGGGAAACTACAGGTGCAGGATCTGCTCCCATATTAGGTTTTTAAGCTCCTGGGGCCAATCCAACAATGGTTTTAAGATTCCTGCCTGAAACACATCACCCATCAGGCCTAGTCAGCATGGGATGATACAAGTTGTAGCCCAGCAACATCTGGAGGGCTGCAGATTAGCTGCCCCTGCCCTAGAGACAGGCAACACTGGGTTAGACTGACCAGTAGGGTGAGCCAAAAGGAAGAAAAGGTAAAATTAAAGAGCAAAGCTTGTACTGAACTTTAGGAGGAAGGGTTGCGATTCAGTGGTAGAGCACATCGTGCATGCAGAAGATTTCACATTCAAGGCCTGACATCGCAGTTGAGGTCGGGAGAAACCCCTGGCTGAAACCCCAGAGAGCTGGAACCAGTCAGTGTAGCCAATGCAGAGCTAAATGGGCAAGTGGTCTAACTTGGCATAAGGTAGCTTCCAGTATATCTGAAGGAGCGTCTCCACCCCCATTGTTCTACCCAGACACTGAGGTCCAGCGCCAAAGGCCTTCTGGCAGTTCCCTCACGGCAAGAAGCCAAGTTACAGGGAACCAGGCAGAGGGTCTTCTTGGTAGTGGCGCCCGCCCTGTGGAACGCCCTCCCACCAGATGTCAAAGAGAACAACAACTACCAGACTTTTAGAAGACATCTGAAGGCAGCCCTGTTTAGGGAAGCTTTTAATGTTTGATGCATTACGGTATTTTAATATTTTATTGAAAGCCACCCAGAGTGGCTGGGGAGGCCCAGCCAGATGGGCGGGGAATAAATTGTTGTTGTTGTTGTTGTTGTTCCTGTGACACCTGCACACAGTACTACGATCCTATACATCAGTCTTAGGCAAACTCAGCCCTCCAGATGTTGAAACTCCTATTTGGGGACTTTGTAGGACCAGTCTGGATAGTTAGCCTTGGTGAAGACTTGACGTTTTTATCCCCCAAAACGGTTTTGATTGAGTTCCGCTGAAGTGAGGCTGCATTTTAATGTTTTAATGTTGTATTTTAATCTTGTTTTTAAGCTGTATTTCAATCGTTTTAATATTTGGTGCTAGCCGCCCTGAGCCCGGTCTTGGCTGGGGAGGGCGGGGTATAAATAAAATTTATTATCATTATCATTATTATTATTACAACTCCCATGATCCCTAGCTAACAGGACCAGTGGCCAGGGATGATGGGAACTGTAGTTTCAAAACATCTGGGGGGCCAAGTTTGCCTATGCCTGCTATACATGGAATCATATGAGTGGGAAGGGGGCTTTTTATAAGGCTGCATACATACCATGCATTTAAAGCACAAAGAATCCTGGAAACTGATTCCTTCCTCAAAAAGCTACAATTCCCAAAACCCTTAAACTACAGTTCCCATATTTGGGGGTGGTGCTTTAAACATATGGTTTGAAAGGTCAAATCTCTTGTTCAGCTCCCTGATCGATACAGGAGCTCTAGATATAATCTTCACACAGGAAAATACAAGTGTATTTAATGTGCAAGTGGCATGTTTCTTGCCTCTGAGTGCATGCCGGCAGCCAATACAAGCAACTCCTATTTTCCTACACAGACTTGCTACCTTTGCGTAGGAAAATATTTCTCTTGCATGCATGCTATATGGCAGGGTTTCAAACATTTTGGAATAGGACCCACCTGCAAAATAACTCTACATTTCAGGCCCTATATCTTCCTCTACAGCAGAATGTAAAAACATCACATCAGCGGTTAACAATACATTGTTATTTCTCCTCTCCCACAACCCAATTATTAATGTATATATCAGCAACAAGTGCTGGGACGAAATTTAAGTGCAAAGTGTAGTGATGGAACAAAGCTGTTTCTTAAAAGGGACACAGAACAACAGTGGGTAATGTTGAGCCTGGTAAAAGAAAACAACAACATTCAAAATGAAAAACAAAAAGCCCATCATTGTGCAACCCACCCAGAAGACGTCAGGACCATGAAGACTGCTATATGGGTATGCTATGTACTTTGGCACTGACACTCCTGTACAAAAAGTAAATGGAAAGATTACTCATACTGAAAAAGGGCAGCAGAGAAGCAACTTTTTAATAGCATTCTAAGCTTATCATACTGATTGCCTCAATGAAAGATCCCTTCAAGAACAAACAAAACACTCATTTTGCTTTCTGCAGAGCAGCTACGTTACAAACTTTGACAGGACAAAAACGGTAGGCTAACATACTTCCACATTTTTCAACTGAAATACTTTTAGGCTCTCAATCTGGGTTGAGGGACTTGAAATCAATATGCTAAAACAGGCAATTGCTGTCAGCACCCTAATATTATGTTTGATGAGGGAGGGAGGGGCTGGAGCAAGGAAAAAAGGAATGAAAGATATTTTTATCTTGAGATCCATCTGCACAGAGGTATCTTGGAGGCACTCCCGTGATACATCTGATTCCCACAGCCTACACACTCGTAGTTCAGCCTGCCTGAAAGAAGGCACAAAACCAATGTGAAAGGCATCATCAGGATCCCTTCCAACCAATGTTTGAAATTCCCACTGTTCTAGGCGCATTTTGCGACAGGGAATTTCATTAACGCGAGCAGTTTCTGAACTCTGGGCCCAGTACTGCGCCTAAGATTTCAGATTAAAACTACGGAGTGGAAGGAAGGGAGGACCTTTTTCTGCCTTCCCACTTCCAGCTACTCTCTGAAGACTGGAGATGAGACCCTCTTAAGAATATTAGGGGGGTGGGCAGGAGAAGGACTAGACCATGTGAAAAATGAACATAATATTTTAGCTGCAGTTCATTAATTTTCAGCTTTGTATTCTTGTTATAAAAAAAGCGTGCCTAGACATTCTGTTGTTGTGCCCATAACCTAGGTTTAAGGTGCCATTTAGCTCCTAGCTTTCATATCTCAGTTTCTAACACTGTTTCCAACTCCACAATTCTATTCTACTATGACCCATGTAATTCTGTGATGAATTCAAAGATCCAGATTGAGCAAGTTTGGACAATCGTATCTCAGGTTAAGTCAAACTACAAATGAGCGGCGGCACATCTAGCCCTTTCACTTGTCACCGTGCAGGAGGAGACAAATCAACCAGAAATAGTGTTTCCCCCCTCCCAAACTGGGAAACTTTGTTTAACAGCTTCCAAACAAGCCAGGATATTAAGGTGGAAAGGGGGGGGTGAAAGGCTTGTTCATCTGTTGGGTTATTAAGCGGCCAAAGTGTCACTGAAAGTCAGAAAAGGTTGTGTGGCCAGGACAAGCCATGGTGGCCTCACCCTGTGTTTTTTTCCGTCGCTCACCCACAGCATTTAGGGTGCTTTTGCAACGCATGAAGAGGGAAGGAGGTGATGACGAGAAGAACTCAGACACCTCAGCCACTCAGGTCCAAATGTTGGTGATCACCTAGAGAAGGCATGCAGGTGACCAAATTGTTCAACCATACAAGGCGATAACCTAACAGTCTCCTGAATGATCTTTTACAGCAGACAGTGGCACCAGATTGGCTCTCTCCTGCCACTCAACTACCAGGGGGATTCTAGGCTGTGGAACTTGATTAAGTGATGCCATCATATTCTACAGGGACCCCTTTGGGATGTAATCCCCAGAACCCTGTATACCTCTGCAGCATGGTTTTTCACACAATCCGCTTATTTTCTTTGTATCTTCCTCAACTCTAAAAGCAACAGCCCACACCGCTGGTTGAGACCCAGGTTTAAATCACCACTCAAGCCATGACGTTGACTGGGAGCCAGTGTGTTGTAGTGGTTAAGACCGGTAGTCTCGTAATCTTGGGAACCGGGTTCGCTTCTCCGCTCCTCCACATGCAGCTGCTGGGTGACCTTGGGCTAGTCACACTTCTCTGAAGTCTCTCAGCCCCACTCACCTCACAGAGTGTTTGTTGTGGGGGAGGAAGGGAAAGGAGATTGTTAGCCACTTTGAGACTCCTTAGGGTAGTGATAAAGCAGGATATCAAATCCAAACTCCTCCTCCTCCTCCTCTTGCACCCACCTACCTTGCGGGATTGTTGCAAGGACAAAATGGGGAATGGGAAGGGAATGCTGTATGGTGCCTTGAATTTCTTGGAAGGTGGCATACAAATAAAACTCCTTCATTTCAACAGCAGTTTGTCAAGCAGTGCAGCACACACTGCAGCAGGTTCAGAGCAGAAACTAACCCATGCAGCTCTCTAGATCACAGCCTTATTATTAGCCTCTTTCAAGCCAACATTCCTTACATAGGCAGACGTGCCTGAGATCTGTTTCATATAAATGCACTTGCAGAAATCAGCCAGAAGCCACCAGATTTTCATCTAGGATGGACTGCCACGTTCTTCCTTCTCTTGCATCTACAGCAGCCTTCCCCCAACTGGTGCCCTACAGACAGCTGTGCTGGCTGGGGCTGATGGGAGTTGTAGTCCAAAATATCTGCAGGGCACCAGGCTGAAGAAGCTGCCCAGTACCTGTTGGAAAGACGGTAAAATGCACAGCAACCTCCACACCAACTTTTCTGAACAGAAATGCTGACAACAAGTTCGAACAAAGAATCTAATGACCATTTCTCCAAACAGAATGCAGGACATCCAAAATATATTTTTCTGTGTGGACAAATGAGAAACAGGACTGAATTCCTGATGTTTCTTTTTAAGTTTCAGATATCAGCAGTCCATATAGAAAAAGCTCTCCCTCAGTGTTTCTCCAGTAGCTGAGGCACGCAGTTTGAAAGAGTCCCTGTTCTGAGCATGTTTCACTCTGTGAACAGGTAGTTTCATTTCATCTAAAAGTTTATTTAGAAAATTTATAGGATTTATTTTGACCGAATGATCCCAAGGAGATTTACCACAGATTGTGTGTGTCTGTACACACACAGAGACAGAGAGAGAGAGAGAGAGAGAGAGAGAGAAACCCAGATCATCTTCCAAGACAACAATGCCCATTTACACCACAAAGAACTCATAACCCACCTACTTTCAGCAGCCAGAAACACCATAACCAGACACTGGAGAGACCTGTCAGGAGTAAGCATGGACCAATGGTACCAAATAGTATGGGAAACAGCCCTACTAGAAAAATTAACCAATAAACTGAAACTTTATCACATACACAGCCCAACAAGACAATGACAATAATCCATCAACAGCATACAAATCAATATGGCTAACCTGATCCAAAACACCGACCCACCCCACTCACACACGAAAACAAAGATCACCACAGCCAATCACAAACAAACAACCACACCCTAGGCCAACCCCAACCTCTCTCACCACCAAAGGAACACAAGTGAACAGCACAAGCAACACTGACACCAAACCCTACATACATTAAGCATAATAGAAACATTGCCATCCGACCCCACCCCCACCCATCTTCCCTCCCTCCACCCCTTTTTTCCCCCTCTCCCTAATGTCTCAACAAATGAAACGGATTTGTAAAAATGTTACATGGAAAAAATACGAGAGAAATTACACTTACTTCTGTAAAACAAGAAAATCTTTAATAATAAATAAATAAAAAAGAAAACAAAGAAAACAAAGAAACCCAGATAACCCTGAAGACCTTAGTCTCCTGGCTGACAGATAGGACCAGAACTTGTGCTCCTCTTCAAGCTCTGCAGTCTCAGGGCAGTCCCTGTTGCACCCCTGAAGTCCCTAGTCATACCTAATGCAGATGCAAAATAGAATTTTGCTTCTAGCAAAGACTGCCTATTACAGAAGCGAGGCAAAAGTAGCCACATCATGCAGGAATACAGTGTGCAACCTCCTCTGCAACCAAATGGATAAAAAGGCTCACAAAAGACTTTAATTTTGAATCATGGCACACATTTTCAGAATGAATGTGAATGAAGGATGGGCAACTACTGCTAATATAAATATACCAAGGTTTCCATTTTTATTCTGCAATAGGAAACCTACTTTATTAAGCCATATCTTACCCATCTCAGGCAAAACAAGAAACACAACTGTATCAGGGATAATGCGACATAGCTTACTTAAGTAGGGCTGAATAATGGCTGTACAACTCTCTCTCTCTCTCCGGAGAATACTTTGCACTCTCATTCCAGTCTGCGTCAGGGCTTGCAAAGTGCCGCATTATCTTTAACTGCTTTGAGTACCAATCCCCATATGCTTCCAGGACCAGATGTTTATGTAAAAATCCACCCATTTCACTTTTGCATTACTCACACTGGCAGCTTGGAAAGTTGGACACGGAAACACAGCGACATTTCCAACACAAACAGGTTCGGCCAAGTCCCAATCTTTTTCTTTTCATCATATGCCATTATGTGGGGAGTTTTCTCTGAGCTACAATACACTAAAGCCAGGTGGAAATGTGTTTTTTATCATTTTAAATATGGAGAGATAGTGGTTCCCTACCTGGAGTGAAGAAATGCAGTCTTAAAACTAGTTGTTTCTTCTTAACGGTATCTTAAATCAACTTTACTTAGCACAGAGGAGTGTAAGCTCTCTGGGCAGCAACTGCAATCTACAGTCCTCAACAAGTCGCTAGTAAGGGCGGGGCAGAGGAGAGAGTCATGACATTGCTAAGCAGATCTAGGCCTGCATAAAGCTCCCCAAACTACTGTACTTCCCCTAAGATGCTGAATGCAGAAGGCAGTAGGACAGAGGCATATGAGACAGATTCATGGTTCCCAGAATATGCCACACTATAACATGCAAGGCAGTGTGGTTTAGAAGACACAGCACTAATCTGGAATGGGGGTGGGATTGGGTGATATCTGGTCTTCAACATTGTGATATATCAGCAGCTAAACATCACAATATACCAATATATCATGATGTCTGCAGTAAGGGTGGAACTATGTAGAGGCAGTGGCTGGTATGACAGTTTTTCCCACATTGTGATTTTTGCAGGCGCCTGCTCTTGTGATTCGCTGTTCCCTCCTGGAGGCAGGGAAGAGCTGAACCTGCAGAGTTAACAGGGGCTGCAGGAATCAAGAGAAGCATTGGTTGGCTTCATGGTTTTTCCCACATTGTGATTTTTGCATAGCACGTGTGCACGCACGCGCACGATTCTCGATATAGTGCCAGGTCAAAAACTTAGGAAACTGATGCCATGATATGGACTTCAAACTAGTTTGGGGCGATATATTGCCCAGCCCTAACACACATCATGATTCACAATTTATTGCCAGGTCAAAAATTATGAAACCATTATGATATGGACTTCAAACTGGTTTTGAATGATATATCAGTATATCGCCCAGCCCTAAATGGGGGAAGGCCTAGGTTGAAACTCCTGTTCAGTCATGAAGTTCAGACTGTTACTATCTTTGGGTTTACCTGGCTTCATGGGGGTGTTATGAAACAAAACTGAAAGTGACCAGAGCACATTGCTAGCAGCAGAAAACAATGTATTAATAGACACAGAAGTTGCTCAGCTTCCCTGCTTAGACAGCATCTTGCATTACGTTTCTTGATTTCTGGATTCAAAATACTGGGGAAGATATGTGACACCCCCAGTTGGAAGAAATGGGAAACGAGATAAATTATCTGCCTTAAAAAGACATACCCCTGGGTATGTCTTTTTCACAGGAGTGAAAAAATCAATTCCATTTGTATCAGCAGAAGCAGATTTAGTATGTTTAACGTGAGGTTTAATATGCTACTTGGCTTGAACAAAGTACTTTGTCCCTAGTTAAAAGGAAAATTTAGCTGAGAATTATGAAACCCTCTGTATCATAAAAAAGAATGCAGAAATAATCAACATTTGGATCCCACATTCATTGCTCTTTTTACTGCACAATGAAAGGCACTTTTAAAGGAAAACATTTTATCTGCTCCATTTATTTGAGCACTAGCAGAGCAACTTAAAAGCCCCACAAACATAGCCTCACTCTCTTGGATGTCATGGTTTCTCCATATGGGGATTCTAACACTGATAGAAAGGAAATACTTTGCTCACACCACACGCAATTAGAGTATGGAGTGTGCTGCTACAGGATGTGTTGGAAGCCAAGAATTTACAATTTAAAGGTGGGGGTTTTTTAAAAAGAAAAGAAAAGAAATTTCCCTGTGGGTAGCAGGAACATACAGGTCTGCAATGGATTAATGCAATCAGAAAATATGATATTTGCAGTTTGTACGTCAAGGGTCACAACATTAGAACTATAGTAAGGACTGCAACTAATTTACACCTTTAAGCAAATTGTTAGAATAATGCAGAAAAGGACACGTGTCTTCACTGCTGGGACTTGATGAAGATATAAAGTTTTGGTTTAAATATGCAGATTAGTAGCTGCAATTTCCCCCACCCAGTGAATATGCTCCCTCCCACGCAGCTACTACCTCCAAATTGACTGCTACAGGATTCCTTATGTCAAGGTGTTTCCTCAGACAGGAAGGCTGCCCATTCTGTTTTGAAGCCAATGCATATGGATGCTCAGAGAAGTGAGCTATACGGACAAGGTTTGGTAGAAGAGAAGGATTGCTCAATGTCAAGTTTCAGATCCTAGGGGTGGAAAGGGCCTTGCTGGTTAAAATCTGGGAAAAGTTACAATTGCCTGGTCTGTTTACAAAAGAGGAAAGCTTTTGTAAAGTGGAGAAAATAATTGACACACACACACACACACACACACACACACAACCCTAGCTGTCAAAGGGTCACAAATAATTACGATGGCACTACGGCTAGCAGAACATATCTGTGGGCTGGTAAATGAACATATCTGATGGGAGGTAAATGTTTTGAAAGCACACGTCTCTAGTCTAGTTTCTGGGAGAAAGCAATTTAAGTATGCACTAACAACAATATTTTCCTTATGTATAATTTCTTTTTTATAGTGTAATTTACACTAATAAAGCACCATTAAATAACCAAAGTAAAATAAAACAGAAGTTCAAATCCTACAGTTCTTGGGTACAGTACATCAGAAGACATATTTTGTTACCCATAGTTCCAGTAAGAACAACATACATATTTTTGTCTTTCTGGTATCGCAATATCACATAGTAAGCCAAAGGTGACAGGACTTGTAACAAGCATAATTTTGAAAAAAGAAAAGAAAGAACTATCACTGATAAACACTTGTTATGAGATCCGTATCTCTAACACTGCAGATGATGGAGGATAAAATATGCCAGCTCAATTTGTGAATGAATTAAAATAATGCTGTAATGGTAGGCAAAACTTCCAGTTTGCTCCCGCCCCTTATAATTCTCATTTGTTCAATTTTCCCTGCAACTGCTATTCTTCAAGCAGTTTGATACTATAAATCCACATCCAGTTCCTCTAAAAATTTCCATTTGGGGGCTATAAATGTGCTGCTAACAGCAAGATTTCTGTTTTAGCAAACACTCTTCTTCTGCTCCCTACATCTCCCTCTCTGAGAAGCTTTATCCCTTTGTCTCCTGAATCACTGAAGAGGATGCAACTGTCAAGAACATTGGCAGCAACCCACAGGATATGGTCTCAGCAACAGAGAGGAAATGCCGTACGCAGGGATGAACAGTCAGGGAAGTTGCAGAGAGACGCAGCATCCCAACCCAGACCGCCAATTAATCGCCTGAACAGAAAGAAAAAACACCCAAACTTTCCAATTCCTCTCTGGAATTATTTCCATACTATCTCGCAATGCTGCCTTATTACCAGAAGCAGATAAATTTAGTGTTCTCTTCTGTCAAATAATAATCTCTCTGCAAAGCCAGCACCACAATTGTGCCACTAGATAATCCTTGGCAGAGAAGGCGGTTTCAACTGTATGAACAACTGGATGCTGGTGCTCCAGTTGCAGATTTATTTATCAGATCTGCACTGTAGCCAGTTTGAGCAAAGCGCAAGACAGACTCCACAGAGCCAACTTTTACTGCAAGGCATCTCAAATTGTATCTATAGAATTGCTAGAAGGCCTACGGGAGAACAAAAACCTAGCACTGTCTTGTTATTTAAACAGATCCAGCCATCTAAAGACAATGGGCTTGAAGCCAAGACTGTATTATCAGTAATCATGCCATGCAAGCATGGAATTTCACAACAGAATTTAGCATCTTACCTTAAATTTGAATCATGTTACTAGCTCATAGGACTGAAGATTCACACGGCCACCTTTGGGCATCATTCTGAACTGGAGACAGGAAGCCTGTGGCTCAATTCCAATCACTCCTGGGGCTGAGGAGAGCTGGAGGGCACAAGGTCCCAATCCCTGCACTAACCATAGTTTAGCACGATGTGAACGAGCTGGAGCAAGCCACACCAAAGCCTCAAGCTTCTTCCTCCAGCATGGCCATGAGGAGTACTTTGGAAACTTTCACCTCTGCTTTAGTTTACCAGTTTGTTATTTTGTCCAAACCAACAAACTGTGCTTAATGTTAACCAGTGCAAACTGGTCCATGTTCCTGATACCAGTAGAATCAAACAAATAGGCTGAAGAGCCTGAATCCCAACTCATTGATCCCAGTGGCCATTTTATTATTCTCTTTTTTCCCCCCTTTAGTATTGCATTGCTTTACTTTAATGGCATTTAAATTATAAGCCACTTTGAGCCTGTTGGTGGCAAGGCAGAATATGACTACAGTCATACCTCGTGTTGCGTTAGGTTCATGTTGTGTCTTTTCGGCTTGCAAACATGGCAAACCCAGAAGTGTATACTTCCGGGTTTCGCCACATGTGCGTGCGCAGAAGCAGTCTGCGCGCTTCACACATGTGCAGAAGTGCTCTATTGCACTCCGCGCTTGCGCAGAAGCACCGCTCTAGTTGCGGACTTTTCAGGGTGTGAACAGCACCCCAGAACAGATCGTGTCCGCAACTAGAGGTACCACTGTACAGCAAACAAACAAACAAACCTTGCACTAATGAACAGATGAAACTGACTTTAGCAGGTACAGAGTGGATTCCCCTTACCAGAAAGAAACTTTGTATGTCAGGGATTGGGCAAGGGGACTTCCAGATCAGAAGGTGATGTCTCCAGACAAGATGCTAACACCATCTCCTTTTTAAGAAATTAGGAGCTGGATGCGGCCCTTCAGAGTAAGGGGAAGTATTTGAAGGAAGAAGAAAACAAAAAGTGTCTGAAATCACATGCATTGGATTTGAACAACTGCTCTGGAGGACCCAAAGTGCTCGAGGCCAGCAATGCCACATCAGATCTGGCGATGGAAGACCGCTTGCAAGGACAAGAGAGATAAAGGGAGGACACCCTCTTTGCAAAGCCATCAGTGCCTAGTCAGGCAGCAGACATCTTTTGCCCAAAGAATGAGCTCCTTGTGTGCATTATCAGTCCTGCAACAACCACCAGCTCCAAACAGGGTAGCGGCATCCAGCAACAGAAGAAAACACTCCTCATAAAACACCCAACCCTGGAGTTATCTTCCTGACACAGAGACAAGCTTTGTGTCTCCTCCAAAAATGGCGACCGCCCAATACACACACACACACACATGAGTGAGATGCAAAGCAGCAGATGTTTGGGGCGTATGCCAGGCTGCTGCTCTTTTTCAGCATTAGCAAGCCAGATAACCACCACACTTTGCCCAACAACAGTCTTCAAAGAACTAACATTAAAGGGGTAAGCTATACTTCCATTCAAAAGGTTCCAGTTGTTCAGATCTCCACAACTCGTGAACTAGCTAGCTAGCTAAACAGCAGCAAGCAAGCAAAGCTTCCGGAGTTATTTTAAAAGAGTACACAAAAAAGAATATCCAAACTGATAGGGCACAGTTCAAATTAACACGGTGGTTGTGTTTTATTTGTTTATATTAAGCCCAGTTGCCTGTATGTTGAAACAGTCTGAATTATTTTTTAATTTGTTTTCTTACACAGGCATACAACCTCTGACACCCAAAATGTTCCAAAGATTGCAAAGCAAAAGAAAATTAAGCAATACACTAGACAGTGTACTTGTCTGAATTTTATCCCCATTAGGCTGTGCAGATTTGTATTTTCAGATCCTGGAACAGAACGAGGAGCGGAGAAAGATGGCAGCATGAGGCCTGCACCCAGAGGACTACAGAGGCTAAAGCGTGGGTGGTCAGCCTGCAGGGCACTGCAAGGCACCTTGATTTTGTGTCAACCTTAGGCAGGAACAGGTAGGCCCTATGGGTCTAGCTATGAAAGGATCAAACCTATACACCTGTCAGCACCACCAATCTGTAATATAGAAGCAAAGCCACCCCAAGGCACAAGAGGCTGAATAAATGAAGGGAAGTCTGCACAGCTGTGCTACAGTCCAACTATAGCATTCTGGCATGTTGTCCCAAAAGCTTTTCCCATCAATGGGCTAAAGTACTTGGAACAGATCAAGACAACTTAAATTCAAATTGTTGTTCACTATGAACCTTTTAACCAGTCAATGTCTTCCAGCTTTACCTACATAAAAAGGAGTCACTAGGAAAGAAATCTGAATGGAAAAACAGCTTTTTACAAAAGCAGGACAATAGCCCATGTGGAGGGAGATCGCTGGGGCACAGAAAGCCACTCTATATGTAGAGAGAGAGAAATACCAGAGAAAAATGCACAGAAATCTATTCTTTTGCTATTTCAACTCTTCCTGCTAACCCCAGGGATGACAAAAGGGAAAGTCATTCTTCACATTCCCACCAGTGCTTTAATCTCACAGGGCTTCATTTGTGCCAGAGCCTGGCACCATAATTAGCTTTAAACACAAAATATGAGACCTGGAATATGTGCCTCTGAGCATGTGCAGAATGCCTTCCCTACTCACAAAGCAGTTTCAGCCTGATCTCACAAATACAGGATGAAGAAGCAAGACAACCAGGACAAATGGCACCATCATTTCCAGGCTGGCTGAGCCACAGCACCTTTTCTGAATTAATTACAGCAGTGCTTCTCTGCAAAATTTCACTTAGCCCAAAGAACAGGTGCTAGGAATGAAAACACCTTTGGAGCCAGGTGCTTTGTCTCAAAAGTGGACTGGCCCTGCTACACCTAAAAATTTCAGCCTACAAACTGCTCAACCTACTAACCATTTCAAATCCTGAACATGCTTCTTTCTGCAGCTTCCAAATACTATCAGGAATGACACAACTTCATTACTGTTTTTTTAACAGTGCTGTGACATACTGGCAAACTAAATTCTGTCTCAGTGTCTTAATTGTGCTATGTGCCAAAAAATGTCAGCCATTAACTGTATGTTTATGATGAGAACAAAGATGGCAATTTTGGTTTACGCAAGTAAAAAAGAAAGCTACAACTGTGTGCCCCATTTCCAACAGCTACTACAAATATCCTTCGGCAAATCATTTAACATTTTCATAAACTAAAAGGAAACTGCAGCAGCTCTACAGAGGACAGAAAAAAGCAGCAGCACAATCAAAATCTCTTTCATCTCAGATGCCATGCAGAAACTTCAAAAGGACCCCTTTGATCCATGTAGCATCTACGTTCCAAGCAATTCCATCTTTCGGTCTTTTTAACAGAACCTACAAAACCTATACAAGTTTACTTATAAGCAAACCCCCACCTGCCACTGTGTAAAGCACCAAAGCATTTTTTTCAGCAAGGAAAAGAAAAACCAACTTGTACAGAGAATAAACAGTACCCAGGATTGCTGTATAGTAAACCTGGAGACACTTGAAGTTGGCTGGATACTTCCTAAAATCATGCTTGTGCAATATTTCCCAACAGAAGCATTTTCTTTGATCTGGCTATCTCCTTTTAAAGCCAGCACACTAAATTAAGCCATTCCTTCCACACAGGAAAGATGCACGGCAGATTAGACCTTCTTAACATATTCCATCCTATGTAGAGAACTAAATCTCTTGCTCCAGCTTCTATTGCTTAAACTACATATGCAACTGATCCACCTACACAGAGGAAGAGAGCTGGGATTGTCTACAGTGGTACCTCGGGTTAAGAACTTAATTCGTTCTGGAGGTCCGTTGTTAACCTGAAACTGTTCTTAACCTGAAGCACCACTTTAGCTAATGGGGCCTCCCGCTGCCGCCGCACCGCCGCCGCGCAATTTCTGTTCTCATCCTGAAGCAAAGTTCTTAACCTGAGGCACTATTTCTGGGTTAGCGGAGTCTGTAACCTGAAGCGTCTGTAACCTGAGGTACCACTGTACTCATGATTCAGCACAAAAACTCTTTTACAATATTTTGTTATGAGTAATTAAACCAGTGTTCATTTGAAAAAATCGTTTTCAGGCAAAGAGAAGCTAAAGCACTTTCTGGACACCTTTTTTACTGTGAAGTTCTGAAATGCTGTTCTGCTGCTTCTGGCCTACAGTTTAAGTAGGCAGGTTCCTTCTAACTGCAACTCTCCGCAAGTTGAAAAAGACTGGGATAGGATCAGTGCACAAAAACAGTTTGCATCTAAGTGGATCCCTGGCAGTGGATCTTCACAGTAAAGCTACCAGGGAGTGACCCTGGGTCATTTTTCATTGCAAGCCACACGGTCTACCACTGAGCTATGGCTCTTTCCCACCACAGAGGTACTAAATAACAGAGTTGAAATACCAGTAGCTGTGATTATACGCTAAGTATTGATCATGGCTTCCAAACCTACAGTTGGTAACCATATATGGAACCCCCGAACACTGTGCTGTCATTCATACTCAAAAATATGTTTCTAAACTTCATGGCGATGGTGCAAAGCCTGGAAATATTGGCAACTGATTCAGCTACGAGCTCAAGGACCAGATAGTAACTAGGTAGAGCTTTCCTGAAGTAAAAAGGAAGCTTTAAAACTCTAAAGCTAAGTAAAACATGCAAATTACATATGTGCAGAGTTAAATAATGCAAGTAAATAACAATATTATGTAACACAATAACTCACTTGTAAGTTGTGAGATACACTGTTACCTTGCTGGTTGTATTTACTGGGTGACAGTTGAAAGCCATATTAAACTGACTACCTACCTAAATTTTAATTAAGTAGAGACTAATAATATTTAATAATCCCCCACATAATAGAAGCCATGACCATTTGACTCAGTTCACAGGGTAAGAACAGAGAGAAGCAAAAAGGCTATGAAAGGCAGCAGGTTTGCATGTGGAATCCCTATCAACAGCAGATGACTCCTAGCTATGAAACAGAGATGGGTAAGGATAAAATGTCGAGAATCACCCTAATGGGTCAAGAGTAAGGATGTGTAGCCCAACATAATGTTTTCTACAGTGGGGGTATGAAGGGTACTCTCTTGTCCCACAGCAACTACACTTCAACAGTATAATGTGTCTTGACAAGAATGTACCATATAATCTAACCCCATGTTTTGCTGAAGTACACAAAATTTAAGGGGGGGGGAGTACCCCACCACAAATAGTCCAATGGTGTCTGAGCATGCTCAGTGATTGCTAGAACAGAAGAAACACAATACTCTGGAGGGATGCAAGGAAATGGGACATACTAAAAGCCGGCATGGCTGGCTAGTATCTTGATCCAGTATTTCACACTGCATTATTTTGTTGCATTCCCATTTGTCCCTAACTGAAGGGCAATCAAATGTCTGAGCCCTTCCTCCAGGTTGCAGTTACTGTATAGCTCTTGACAATCCCACAGGCCTAGTCTTTGTTTACCAAGTAGAGAAGACAATTGTGTTCCTTTAAGATACCACAGTCTAGCAGTATACGTCCAGAGTGTGGTTACTTTGGAGAGCTTAAAATGAATTCCATCCACATCACAGCCAAATTTGCTAACCGATTTGCATCCAAGATATGACCAGATTAGATTCTAAGTTTAAATTTAAAACAGGCCAAATGAAAGGGCTCTTTGATTATGTTTACTTGCTGGATGCTTGAAGGCTCCGAGCCTGAATCTGGTTCTAGCTGACAGCAACGAAGGCCAAAAAAAGTAAAGATATTTCTAAGCTGGGAGTGAAGAACCTGTGTCCTCTTGGACATGGCTGGGCTAGAATCAACACTGACCATTGCCCATGATGGGAGTTGGAATCAAACACCAGGAAGACCAGAGGTTCCCCACCTTTGCCCCAAACTGTAGTTAAGATTAGCCACAATGTGTCTAGGTTCAGACAATATAATAAACCATGGTGAATTAAAAATGAAAATGAGGAGTCCTGTTTGGCCATTATGCTCTCACCCACTGGAGCAAATTAAGACCTACATTTTCAAAAAAACAGATGCACAAGCATCAAACCTCCTCTTCATTGCCATACTAGAGGAAGGGAAGGATGCATGAGTTCAAGACTTGTGCATATACAGTGGTACCTCGGGTTACAAACACCTCAGGTTACAAACACTTCAGGTTACAGACTCCGCTAACCCAGAAGTAGTACCTCGGGTTAAGAACTTTACCTCAGGATGAGAACAGAAATCGCACGGCAGCAGCGGGAGGCCCCATTAGTTAAAGTGGTACCTCAAGTTAAGAACAGTTTCAGGTTAAGAACGGACCTCCGGGACGAATTAAGTTCGTAACCAGAGGTACCACTGTAACACTAAACCATAGTTTACTGTTACATCCAACTAGTGCTGCCTACTTCCTTCTGTCTCTAGCCCGAGTGCCCTAACATATTTGGTGGTGGTAGAGTTGTTCAGCAGTTGGAATGTTTTATGAATAAGCCATAACACCTCAGCAACCAAGTTAAAGTCTTGAGATGTCTCATTTCTATGTCCTGTACTGAAGCTAGCGCTCTCACACGAACAGTGGCGAAGGAGGGGGATCAAAAGCTGCCAGCTAGTATTTATCCAAGTTTCTTCTTCTGCTGCTGAGTTTATTTGATGGTGGCAGGGGGGAGATTGGGCAAAACCACTATTCTTCTGCAGAGCTGTATAGAATCATAAAATGGCAGAGCTGGAATTGATGCTAAAGGGTTATCTAGCCCAACCCCCTTCAATGCAGGATCACAGCTAAGGAATCCTTGAACGCTGGCCATCAAACCTCTGTTTATAAACCTCCGAAGAAGGATAATCCACCACCTTCTGATGAACGAGGTACTAGATTAAGCAGCCTGCAACTTTATTCTATGTCGACAGAAAGTACACTACACCAGAAGATGTCCAATTCTAGCTTTGATTTCAGAAACAAACATACAGATACTAGGATAACAAACTACTCACCCTGAAGAGGCAAATGTTCTGCACACATCCAAAAGGAATAAATGATTTAAGTAATAATATAATATCCATACAGTTTGCTTTATTCTAGTTCTTAAGATTTGCAAGTGCTGGGTAATCCTTTTAACAAACTAGCTCAAGTGTTCCAATGTACTTAATGTGCTTCAGTTCTCCAGTTTCCAACATTTGTCTGATAGAACACTGAACGGATTCTTCACTAAATATTAACAGCTGGGGTTACTTGCCTTATGGTGCTGGAGGGATGCATTCTATTGTGAAAAACTGGGATGACTGTGTTATTTTTAAGTTGCAGTGTTTAAAGTATGAATCAAGTCGCACCTTCAGTTCAGAAGAGAAGCTATCAGCCACTGAATCCTAGGACAGAATGCAAGAGGACTCTCTGTGTGAAGCGGGGAAGGCAATGATGTACACTTGAGCATAACAGCAGAGGTTTATATCCCGTTATCAGACTGCCAGAGGGAGATTAGCCTACTGTTTAAAATAGATAGGGATAAAAACAGAGTTCTGTTAACTTATGGCATTTCCATCACACCTTTAGCCAGATAACTTCAAGGTGATTTACAAGGTTACATACTAAAATTTAATAAAATCAACACGGCAAAACACCAGAGGCAGGAATTAAAAGCCCAAATAAAAAGAGCATGAAGGCAATTACAGTGGGACCTCGGGTTACATACGCTTCAGGTTACAGACTCCGCTAACCCAGAAATATTACCTTGGGTTAAGAACTTTGCTTCAGGATAAGAACAGAAATCGTGCAGCGGTGGTGCAGCGGCGGCAGGAGGCCCCATTAGCTAAAGTGGCGCTTCAGATTAAGAACAGTTTCAGGTTAAGAAAGGACCTCCAGAACAAATTAAGTACTTAACCTAAGGTACCACTGTAAAAGGAACTCCATACTACAAAAAGTGTGAAAGGACCAGATAGTCTTTGCTGTGCACCTAAAAAACAAGAGCAAAAAAGGTACCAGGTAAAGATGTTTTGAAGAAAGCTCTATGATTTGGATGTTAGCACCAAAGTGGCACTCTCCCAAATCTGAGCCAACTCTTAATGTCCTAGCAGAGAGACATGCAGGGAAGGAAGGCTTCTGAATGCCCCGATAATGAACAAGATAATATTACACATACATTATCATATCTTTAGGTGCAAGGCAAAAACATTTCTCTATCTATAACCAAGCCTTTGGCTGATTTAACATTCTATGGCCTTTTAAATGTTTTTGTGGGAGCCCCTGGACATCCTGCTAAGTTCCCATCCAGGCTGCTATCTCATTAGGTACCGCCCACAAAATTTACCATTGCGAACTGATTTAGTTCATTTTTAAAAAATTACAAAAATCAAAGAGAAAAAGAAAATGACATCA